ATACTATACCCCCTACCCCCCCCCCCCCCCACCACCCCCCAACCTTCTCTTTCACTGTGCCTCTATAGATTGTATACATATTACCTACGATCCTTCCACTATGCGGAGCCTGATTCCCTCTACAAAATAGCTTGCTCATCGCGAGCCGAATCCGAATCCGAATCCGCATCATCCCGTTCGCCTATTAGCGCCCCGAGAGCACTTCAAGGCATAGTTTGTAGGTGCGAAAATTGCGACCTGGCTCTTGGAATCTCTAGTTGGCAATTTGGAGTCTCCTGCACCAAATTAAGAAGATCATGACTTATCTAGCAACAGCCTCTAAACACTCGGCCATCGATACTCCATCCAATCCGTCAAGGTCTCATTCCAAGCACCACTCCCCAGCATGACACGCACCCACTGATCCACAAAGCCCTTCCACACCACATCCCTCCCAACCATATACCCCAGCTCCTCAAACGTCCACGGCACCTCGTTCACGAGGCACAGCTCGCCTGGGTGCAGCTTCACCTGCAGCTCCACCTCTATCCGATCCGAGATCATCACGTCCGCGCTTCCGTCCCGGACAGCCTGAAAAACAGCGTTGTTATCCGGTAGCAACACGATCTCGGCGTTTACCAGATTCGCCCTGTTGAAGGCCTCGTTGCTGCCGCCCGGGTTCACCACGACGCGGACGCCGACCTGGTCGATGGCCACCAGGCTGGTGAACCTACCAGCGTCACCGCACCGCACGCACCCCGTCTTCCCCACCTTCTGGATGGGCGTGGAGAGCATGGCCGTGCGGGCCCGTGGCAGCGTGAGGCTGACGCCGCCCATGACGATGTCGAATCTGCCGGTGGCTAGGTCCCTCGTGAGGTTCGCCCATGCGGTGGGGATGAGTTGGGGCGGGCGGGGCAGACCCAGGGCGTTGGACAGCGACTGGGCGGCATCAATGTCGGCGCCGATGTAGCTGGTGTTGATGGCTGCTGCGTTGGGTAGGGCAGTGGCGTTGGTGACGAGGTAGGTGAATGGTTTGTAGTCGCCGGTGGTTCCAACCTTGAGGTAGCCTCTGGCCAGGATCGTATCAAGGGTGGAGGAAAGGCTTTCATAGGCAGAGATAGATGACGGCGTGGGACTGAATTTTTTAAATTTTTACATATCAGCTTTTGAAGTATCTTTGTTTTTTTTGTTTTTTTTTTCGAGTATACGTATCTGACATGATTTCAGGGAATCCCAATCGGGCTTCGCGAGGTAAGATGAATATACTTACTACGGCATCGAGTCATTGTATTCGAAAGCGGCCACTCGAGAAGTAGTAGTAGCCAAGAATCCGAAGACAACAACAGCACATGTTTTAAACAGACTCGACATCATTTCGTCCTTGTGAAAGCCTGCCTGGAAGTTATACCTACCACCTCGCAAACTCTAGCTAAGCAGACATTCGCAATTGTAGGAGTGGGAAGGGAAAATGCCCAAAAAATTGCGAGGTCAACTCTCACAAAATAATCCAAGAGCTAGGTAGTAGTCCTTTCATGCTCCTCTATCCTTCCTGCCGCGCGATAAAGAAAAAATCAGGATTAGGTACTAATAAGCTGGAGGAAGAACTGCCAAGAGACAGCAGTAGTTGCCCGGCCGACGATCTCTTTCTCGCTCGCTTGCAATAAATCGCTTCCCAGGATCTGGTTATCCTGCCAAAGGCTGAAAAGTGGAGTGAGTACCGGTATATACGTAGTAGGTAGGTAGATAACACCCCGTAGCGGTACCGAGCGGGTTCTTATCGGTGAGCTAGCTAGCCGTTATTAGCTAAGTACCGGTACCGAGCTAGCCGTTTTTCCTCCGTCTCCCCATCGCGGAATGAGCTAGGGCTGCCACAATGCGGAGGGCAGGAAGCGGGCGGCTGAAGCTCATCATCGAGAAGTCCAATCAATGCTTTTTCTTCTTGTTTCCAATCCGTGTTGTATGCTCAGAAGGTGGTTGGGGATTTTCTGGCAAGCTAGGTACCTAGGTACCTAGGTACCTAGGTAGGTATCTATGTAGGTAGGTAGGTACTCACTCTAGAGGCAGGAGTGATAAGCGATAAGCAAAGCATGCTACTACTACCGTACCCCGCTTCGATAAGTAAGTACCTACCTACATCATCTTTAAGCTCGATCAATACCCCTCGATAATAGTCGAGACGACTATGGTAGATGGGTCATAGTGCGGACCTGTTTTCTCTCTTTCATTTTCATTTTTTTTTTTCTTTTCTATTTTCTTTTTCTTTTTCCTGATACATAACTTGGCAGGAAGTACGAGGTGGAGGAGAAGGCTTCCGGCTTGCTTTGTCACAATCATCATCGTTACTGCTCTCATCATTTCTATTCAGGCTCAGGCTTGACGCTGACTCGGGATTAATCTGAGGGCAGGACGGGAGGCCAGATCCAGAGATGGAGAGAAACTTTTCGCGGCAGCGTTATAGCTTGCTTGCTTGGTTGCTTGCTTGCTTGCTAGCCATCTACGAAGATCAGACGCTTTCCAGGGTTCTGGCTTTGGTTGCTCGTTGCTGGTGGTGATGATGGTGATGATGGTGATGTTTATATACATACATATATATATATATATATATATATATATATATATATATGTATGTATGTATATATATGAGATAGATACTTATACGTACGAGGGAAGGATACGTATACGTATACGTATACATCCGCATGAGAGAAATGACAGCACTTCAGATCTGTTTGTGTACATTTTGTTTAGTTAGTTGGCTTTCTTGTAGCTTGTAGCGATACTACCGGTATGGTGAATGAAAGAATGAATGAATGAATGAAAGAATGAATGAATGAATGGGAAGAGGATCGTGATGTGATGGGACAAGCGACAAAACTAGTTGAGGCTGGCTGGCTCTTTTGCAGGGGTGTTGGAGGGGGGAGGGATGAGGGAGGGGGGAGGGGGGAGATGAAGTTGACGAGAAGCATGGATAGATAGAACCGCTTGTTGGGATTTCGAGTCTATGTATGCTTGCAGCAGGGTGTTACGAGAAGGCAGTCAGGCGGTTGGGATTCTGCCTTTTTTTTGCTAGGGATTGGCCGCGCGAGGAGTGGTAATGGCGTGGCCACCACGAGTAAGAAAGTGAATTCGGCTTTCGGGTGTTGGTCTGATATATATGATGAATATTTGCTCTGGCGCAAGTATTTGGGGATAAGTATATTTTTGGGGGGTGTTTTCTTTGATAGGAGATTGATTAGTTGCCTAGGGACGTAGATTAGGTTGGGTTTTGTTGCTTTTCGAACGGAGTGTGCCCTTTGTTGTGGAGGGACGAAGAACTTCTTTAAAGCAGGGTGGGTGGGTGAAAGCGGCTTTGGATTTGCTTCGCTTGAGCCGGAAAGGGAAAGGGGATAAAGGACAGAAAATATTACTGATATAATCTGAAAGATGAAATTCCGTAGTGGACACTCATGCTGAATAAATTCTATGTAATTGCCTCTCTCTATGATGCTGTAAAGCAGACGATGACTGTTGCTATATCTCCCCTGAGTTTCTTTTGCATACAGCAGACTTACCCTATCACTATTTCCGGGTAATTGGGTATATTATGGTAAATTTACATTCCATAGTTTCCGGCAATAAAGCCAATAAAGCCCTTTGTTAGACGGTGATGTTATTCTCTCTGCTACCAGACTTCAAAAACCGAGAGTGGCTTGTAAGTCAACACGAAGGTCTCCCGCACGAATACTGCCCAACACCCCGTGTGCCAAAGCCAGGATAGAGCTCTAAGCTCTACCGTTGCCACCAATATGTGCCGCATGAACCAGCGCAACTTTTTCCATAACTGTACCCACAGACAGATCGTAGACCTTCCAAGCGTAAACCCCAGCTGCAACAAGCTTGTGTACGGTGTGAGCTATCTCATGAACGAGTGGTGTCCCCGATGCAGGTAAGCACAACAAGCCCAACCGCCCTCGAGGCAAGAGGAGACGAAAAGAACTTTCTCGAGTGCGGAGATCTCAAGCTAACCCCGGTCGAATCTCAGATGGACAGGATTCCTCTTCCCGTTCCAGTACCGGGAATATGCCCCCGGCGCTCGCTGCGGGACCGTCGAAGGAAACGTGATGAGAAACGTCACCCTACTCGAGGTCGACTACGAGGAGTGTGACAAGTACACGCTCTGGCTTCGCAGGCAGGAGTTCATCACGGGACCGCTGTGGGACTTTCGTCAGGGACGGCGAGAAGCAGAGTATAAGCAAGTTCGCAGGGAAGAAGAGAGGCTGGGGACATCGGACCGGGAGCGCACCTACTTCGTCCTGGAAGGGATTCCGGGTGCGCCGATCGATTACAATCGCTGCGGAGAACTCTTCAGGCCTGTCTGGCAGACCGAAATACCGGAGGCTAAAGAGAAGTGCGCGATCTGTAGGGGGGACATGTGCCACGATTATCCCGACCAAGGGTTGAGGTGCGAGAGCTACACTTTTTGTGCGCTGCCATGCGGCCACTTCTACGGGATTGTAGGTCAAAACTGATTCCTCAGGCGTGCTTGGATTGAGATTGCTGCAAGACCCGGAACTCTGGGCAAGAGGGGAAATTCCACTGACTCGTCGATTAGTACTGTATTTCCCAGTGGGTAGCCGGAGGCGGAAGCAGTTGCCCAGAATGCCGACAAGAATATAAGCTGATACGCCAGCTTCAAGAAGCAGAAGAAATCACGCGTGTAAGCAACTGCTACGTTCTATTGAAAGCCCTCTTCTCGTGTGCTATCCACACATACTCCATCTGTTTCCTGCCAAGTAACGCCAGACCTATGAGCCATTGCTGAATCTGTAGCTATCCAGGTACCTACAGGGTGGAACGAGCAGCAAATCGTTGATCTTCGCTTGATCCCAATGCCAGATCTAGATGCGTTGTTAGAAGAGGAACCAGAAGAGCAGATAGTAGAACGGGAACAGGGCGAATCAGACGAAGAGTACCAACAGCGCCGTCAACTCAGCGCACAGAATGCACAGCAAGAAAGACAGATTTTTCAAGAAGAGCAGGACCTGGTGTTTTACGGGCCAGAATACCTGAGGAGTCTCCAATCGATACACTACGCCTTGGTATGGACTCTGATGCAGAAACTGCTCCTTGTCGGCATAGTTATTGCCCCGTTCCCAGTACGTACTCCGGTAAAAAAATTGCAGCGTGCGACAGGTGCTGATACAAGACTTGCAGTTCCTGAGCTGGACGAACATGTGGATGCTCACTTGCGGTCCACTTCTCTTCTACAGCAGCTGCATCCACCTCACGATGATCCTACCCCGCGCACCTTTCGAGAGGAGGACAATAAATCGGTTCGCATTATGTTCCGCCCTTGGCAACACACTTGAGATCATATACGCCAATGTCTACAGAGGTGCGGAGTATTCGTGGTGGGCTCTGATCCTCGGTATCATCTGCTTGCCATCGGGCTACTGCGCTTACAAACGATTCTATGATATGCCTCTTGATTTCCCCTGGACGGAAGCAGCCATCGAGAGGGAGATCAGAGGGGCGACTCCTCGGAACAGGCTTGAAATGATGATAAATGCTTTCGAAGGTGAGTTCGTTGTAGGTAACATATTGGACGGGGATTGGGTAGGAGAGATCCCACCTGAATCTTTCCGGGTACTCTTTCAGAGGAACACTTCATAGTACAGGATGGAGCGAAAATGTAATTGAGTGAAACACAAAGCGGCATCTGGATCTGGAGAGTGAGCAGCCACAATGTGACCGTGACACCGTGTCTCGCAGATTTCCCGGCTAGACGGTAAATGAAAATAGAGCAGCCGGATGCACAACGGGGACATCCGCAGTAGATATTCGGCCAGGACTGGAGATTATCGGTTCCTGATCATACACCAGCCATCAGTGTGGCGCCGGTAGCCGCATAAATACTGCCAAGACTAAACCGATGAGCCTCTCGGAACACAACACGGCACCATCTGATCCTTCACTAAGATCATCTCATATTCGGGCTTTTTGGGAGCTTGAAGGGCATGCCGGATGTAAGCAATGCGAACCCTGCTGTGGCTGAGAGATCAGGGCTATAAAGAGAGCCGGAGTGCGGATAGACATTGAGGTCATCATTCTCGAAAGAAGGTGCTTCTGACAACTCGCTATGCGTCTCTCATCAATTTTCACCGTCGCCGTCACCATCACTGCAGGTTTGGTCTGCGCAGACGGACATCCATCTTTCTCTATAGATCCAGCATCCGATATCAGGAATGTCCTGGCTCATGTACGTATAGGGACACAGCAAGCGGACACCTGGAATGATCCCCATTTTTTTTATGCGACTCTCTCGTAGTGCCTGGGCTTCCCATTTTCCAGTCTTGATCGGATACGACTGACCACCTTTTCATCTAGTATTGCATAATACTTGATACCAAGACGTATTCCAATCTTGCTTCGGTCTATACATCCGATGCAGTCGCAAACTTCACGACTATTGGCCTCGGCGTTCTGATTGGCCTACCTGCTATCGAAGCTGCGATGAACGCTTCTCTCTATGGTATTCCGACCCAGCATGGGATGACGACCAGCTACCTTGCAGATATACAAAAGAAGTCCGCAAAGGCAATAACATAGTCCGTTTTTAATCCACCACCACCAGGGGAACGCGCTCGAATACTGATACTGATATGTTCAGTTACACATTCGAGCAATTTGGGACTGGCACCAAGGCCGGTACCCTGTTCACCGTATGGGGAAAATGGGTGGACGAGCTTGTGAATGGAAACGACGGCTGGAAGGTCAAAAACCGCCAGGTTGTGGCCATGGGGGGTCCACTGATTGGAAGCTTTGTTGTACCAACACACTAGATAGACGTCCTCGTGGCTGGTCGGATATTTTTCTAGCAAGGCAGATCAAACTTGCATCGAAACAAGACTGCCTTGCACCTGCCACGTCCGCAAATTTACCAACGCACATTTATCGAAGCGTCGAAGATCAGTTTGCCGTCTTTCTTCAGCCCAGCCCAGTTTCTGACGTCTGCTTCAGGGCTCTCTAATCTCAACCAGTAAAAGGGTGAACCGGCAGGTGATGATATCGAATATGGCCTCCTTGACATCGTGAGTTGTAAGACCATCGAATGATGCAACATCATGATCCAAGATTGGTATATCCGAGCCTTGCTTATCGGCTTCAGACATGGCGATATCGAGTGACCTACTGATGATGTCCCCCCCAATGACCGTACCGGATGAACCGACTGCCCGTTCTGCTGGGATTGTGATCCTACCCGGCACACAAGCAATATCAAGTATCTTTGCTCCTGGCAACGGGAATATCCACTTCAGGTAGTAGTCACCTGCTGAGCTTTGTGGAATTTGCAAGTTCCCTCATGGTCTTTTCATCGTCTGTTGGGACTCTTTCATCATACATATCTCGAATCAGATCAAGAAGGTCGGAGACCATTTTCGATAATGAGTTTTGGAATGTCTGATAGTCCTTGGAGACTTTTGAGATCTGTTCAGAGGATTAAGTAAAGTTTCTCTATCAAATGGGAAGGAAGGAGCGTTGATTTTTATTGGGAACGTCAGCTCGGTTCTAAATGCTGATTTCCGGACAAATCATCATGGAACTGTCGAGCGTTCGTATGACAATATGGTATATGGAATAGCCTGAAGCGATTAAGCCATTTCTAGCGATATCTCACTACGCTGGTTGATCCATGCCCGGACAACGTGTGGTAGGGCGAATGGAGTGCAGGGTCCACGTACATGTGCCGTTGTATATTTATCGAAACTCACCAGCAAGGAACGGAGCAATACTATTCAACCCTTAGCCTTCGAAATCGATAAGCGCAATCTCACTAGATATCGTAAACCTCAGAAAGGACGAAGCAATCACGGTGCTTGTGGTCACCTGATCCGAGCGCTAAGCTCTTCGGGGACTAGCCCCGGACTTGTTAGCGAACGCACACTCTTCAATTTGCATCGCCCAAAAGTTTTCGTGATTGTCAACGACCTTCCGACAAACCACCCCACGACGACGACCTTCAAGCCGCAATCATGGGTAAAGGACTGTAAGTAATTCAGCTGCTATTTATTGAGAGAGATTTCGAGACCTGCATGCCAGCCAAAGATCAGCTTTCCGCGAATACACTCGGGAATCTCGTGGCCTCATAGATGTCATGGCGCAAAATTGTGTGCCAGCGACCTCATGCTAACGTATCTCCTCCCACAGCAAGAAGCACCAAAAGCGCCTCAGTGCGCCATCACATTGGCTTCTCGACAAGCTCTCCGGTGCCTACGCTCCACGAGCATCCCCAGGTCCTCACAAGCTCCGCGACTGCATGCCCCTGATTGTCTTCATCCGCAACCGTCTAAAGTATGCGCTCAACGCCCGCGAGACAAAAGCCATCGTCATGCAGCGCTTGATCAAGGTTGATGGCAAGGTCCGAACCGACGCCACCTACCCAGCAGGCTTCATGGATGTCATCTCCATCGAGAAGACCGGCGAGCACTTCCGACTTGTCTACGACACCAAGGGCCGCTTCACCGTGCACCGCATCCAAACAGAGGAGGCTGAGTACAAGCTCGGAAAGGTCAAGAGAGTCCAGCTGGGCAAGGGCGGAATCCCATACCTGGTCACCCACGACGCTAGAACGTAAGCAAGCATCCCATTCTTGGTCACGCACGATGCAGGAACGCAGTTCCATCAGACATCATTCAGCCGTTGGTCCAAGCTTTGGTCGATACAGAGAGATTGATTGGGCCTACACCAACGGTTGCTATACAAATCCCTCCCAGAAATGCTGACACAACTTTGCGTGAACAGTATCCGTTACCCTGATCCAGCCATCAAGGTTAACGACACCGTCAAGATTGATTTGGCCACTGGCAAGATCACCGATTTCATCAAGTTCGACACTGGTGTCATTGCTATGGCCACCGGAGGTCGTAACATGGGTCGTGTTGGTGTCATCACTCACCGCGAGCGCCACGATGGAGGATTCAACATTGTGCACATCAAGGATGCCATAGACAACTCTTTCGCTACCCGTGAGAACAACGTCTTCGTCATTGGATCTGAGAAGCCATGGATCTCCCTGCCCAAGGGCAAGGGTGTCAAGCTTTCCATTGCCGAGGAGAGAGACCGCCGACGCGCCCACGCCATTGCCTCAAGCTAGAGTTGTTGTGGTCTTCGCGGTTTCTGCTTGCTCTGGATTCTTTCACGATGGTTCTGGGATGGAGTATTTGGGGCTTCTCGATTTGCGCATGGGAAAAGTGCAGCATATGGGTTAGCTAGCGCCGCAACAGCATAGCGACAGCAACCAATACCAAAACAAATGTAAAAGCCCATCCAGTCCAGAATTTCCACCACGTCAGTTTTATATGTGAATTGATGACATGAACTTGCGTAGCCGCTGTTCCTTGATAGGAGCTTCGTCCAACTCACAGATCCCGTGCATAGTATGTGGTGGCGTGCATATATATATATATATATATCTACTACTTACAATACTGACTGGCCTTGGTCACTTGGTCACTTGGGCGCCGGATTTTTCTGTGTGCCCGGCGGCGCTCCGTAAGGAGGCGTTAGGAGCGGACATGCGCCTGCTGTGCCTTTGCCTGTGTGTTTTTTTTTCCTTTTTTCTTTATTTTTCTTTATTGATATTGCATTGCTTTGGTGGTGTGCTTCGTGGTGGTGATGTTTTGCTTGCTTGCAGGGCGGGGCTTGACCACCAGTTTGCATTGCTGGATATGTGCAAGTCGGTCATGAGACGGATGGATGGATGGATAGATAGCTAGATAGAGGCCTTTCTTCTACCGGTAGTTGAGTCGAGTCGAGAGGACATGGCATTTCCCCTCTGGAAGTGGGTTTCCTCTTGCTCTTACTCTTGCTCTGCCTCCTAGGTTTGGCTTGAATTGAGAGAGAGAGAGTGAGAAGCTGTTTTTGATTAATATATATATATATATATCCTCGTCGAAGTCGTTTCTGTCGCTAGTCTTTGAACCCTTCTCCGGTTCTGTAGCGCTCGCAGACCCACTCACGGAAATCTTGACGATGAATGCGCATTTGATAGGCTTCCGAAGATATTTCAAATGCAGCTACCGTAGCTGTAAGACTACGGGCGAAACCGAGCTGATGGATCGACGCGGGATTTTCATGACTCTGATCGGTTCAAGGAATTGAAGCGCGGATGCAAAGCTCCCTTCGAACATGATCGGTTTCAGGTGTATTAGCTCACAGACGAAAAGAGGGAGCTTGAAAGGAAGGCCGAGGTTCTTGAGTTGGCCAAGGCGGAGGAACAGCCTGTTTTAGGTTTTTTTTTTGCAGCAGCAGCTTTATATCATTCATGTACTTATTCAGGCTTGTAACTATGTATATAAACCTCTTGAGCTCTTTGAGATTTCGTACTTGCGTTAGGACTCAATTATCATTCCTCTTCTCTGAATACTCGATCACCCTTTCAGCTAGTCAATACCGACCTCTAGTGCAGCAGTTCTACCGCGTTCCTGCTACGTACGGGCAAACCCGTTCACTAGTAGCCTATCGCGAAGTATCGGAAAATACGTCCTCGCTTTTGAATAGCGGACGACAGGATCAGGGCAATTAGGATTATGCTCAGACACCGCGAATGCTGTTTCATTACTTTTTGCTTCTCCACCAGCAGGCATAGCGACAGCGTAGGCGCCGTGAAAAAGGCGAAATCAAGATCTTCTTAGCAGTCGGTCACCTATGGGCATGATCACTTACTCCCATTCGATGGGCGCTTCCACTATTTTTAGCCCAGCCCTAGAGTCACTCATGGCTTTGAGGAATGCGATTTACTTATACAAAAATTTCCCCCGGCCCAGCAATCCATCATGTTGGGAGAAAAGAACAAGTAAATGTACTCAGAAGGGTTGGATCTCCTTGCCACGATCCTCTTCCAAGAGATTACTAGGAGAGACATCAGGGCGGGTAAACCGCAGAACAAACGGGAAAGCTTGAAGCTCTCCCTCCTATCACGTCGAACAGCGTAAAGTTATACAGAAGTACTAGAGGACAAGTGAAGGAAAGGCTACTACTACGCGATGATTTCTCATGTGAGAAAACAAAACCAAATCTGCTCAATGCTACATAGCGTCACGCAAGATAGGGTGGAAGGCCTGGACACTTGCATCTGGTTCTAATGAGCCCTGGAATTGCAGCACGGCGACGTGCTCAAATGGTGCTTAGACATGTGGGGACCTAAAGGCGCCACGATCACACACGTTAGCTCGACCACATTTGAATACCGCGTTGAAAAAATCAACATCCCCTACGGAAACAGCAAGAGTTAGCATCCAAGGTAGCACTCAGCGAGTCAGGCCGCTTTACTGAGAAGAGCATTGAGGAATCTGTATGCTTCGAGGATTGTACTAAGTGGAGTCCGTGGTCTTGAATCCTTTGGCCGCGATAGAAGGCGAGGTGCAAAAGGGACTTGCGCTTGCCGCAAGCATATCTTAAGTTGGTGTCGTTATACTGAAACTTGGTGTGATACCAAGTGAAGTCTTCGTGCGTTATTCGTATCGCGAGTAGCTTGCGTAAAAGCTGAAGCTCCGGGAGGGGTTTGATTAAGGAGTCCCTATTTCCTGTGAAGAACTTCGTATAGCTCGCGCCAGCTTTCTCTGGCTCTCTCTTAGACATCGAGAAAGATCGAGCGAATGCCACTAACAGAACAAGAGGCTCAAGAGAGCACTATGGAAGGCTTCCGCGGGCTCCTCCCTTCCTTGATCCCTATTGAAGTTTGTTCCGGGGTCCTGACAACGTGAGGAGGCCCCAAGCATGTATCGATCCAACGAGCAGCGTATCCCATGCGCTGATATTATTCAGTAAGACGTTCGATGACAGCAGCTTCAGCTTGTCCCTCCTTACTCGAGCGCTGTGGTATGTCGATTAGACGAACTAGGCGGCGATGAATTTGGCGCAGTTCGTCTTTTGTCAAGTATGATTTAAAATCTCGACAGAAGCGTGGCCTATTTTTCTGATAATGGGATCGATTTGTTGCCTTAGAGTAGCCTATTAGAAACGTTGTCAAGAGTGATGTTTAGTCGATCCATATCTTAAGCAGTAAAATGGTATTTTTAGGTACGATACTGAAGAGCAGGTATTGGTAGTAGTGGCCTCGCTGCTGGTGGGAGTAGCTGAAGGAGGAGTCCTGGACACAGATGAGACTGGTGGCTAGGTCTTGTGCCTCTGTTTGTCAATACAGTCTGAGGCGATGGCATGCCAAACTTGTCGTTCGATGGCTGGACGCCGTGTTATAGATGCGCTCTCAGTGTCCTAAATCGAGGTGGCCGCGTTTCCTGGGCGGTGATAAGGGATTGTTGTTGTTATTGTTGGCCCTTGAGGACCGCGATAGGGAACTATTTCTCGAGCTGTGCGGCGAACGCAACGAGCTATCGAACTGGTTCCCGGGGAATCTAATGCAATAAAAGTCAATTCTTTTAAAGCAAATTCGTATCGGAGAGAAGATCAGAAAATTGGCCGAAGTAGTGAAGCTGGATATCAAAGGCTTTAGTGTAAGTTGGGTTTGAGGGTGAGATGGCCGGGATAATGCGCTAAATCACAAAACACATTTTGCAAAGTCATTCGAAACTGGCCCAGAAGGCATGCTGAGGGCTGTGGAAGAATAATATCGGACCCAACACAAAAGGAAAGAATGCTAAAAGGAGTTCAGAAACAGATCGATGCAAAACACAGACAACTTATTGGAAACCTAGCTTCTGATACTGAATTTAGACTGGATCTCAAAAAGGGGAATAAAGGTCGTTATCCCGGATTTGATGGGTTGCCGATCGAACGCGGTCGGTAGACCTACCCGGCTGGCTAACAGAAGGGTGTCTTGTCTACAACCCTGCTGTTATTAGACAAGCGCAAGCAGTAGCTTAGGTGGCACGGATGGAGTTTAAGCCTGACCTACTTTAGGTACAGCTTTGCATTCCACTGCTAGAACGAACGGCCACAAGAACTCTGATTAGGTATAAGCGTTAAAAACTTGGAGGCAAGAACTGAACAACAAGGTTCGGACCGTGACGCAGGCACCTTCGCTAAGCCATACCTGGGACGAATGGCGAAAGTCTTGAAGCTTTCAGAGAGCACTGAATATGGCGTAAAATTTCGCGAGCCACAGACACCGCGAGAGGTCCGCTTCCTTCCGGCGAGTTTGGGGAAATAGACTATATTAGGGGTATCTTCGGCTATGAGAACTTCATAGCGAGTTTGGCGACTTACCACAGGACAGGAGACTCTTCGCTAGGGCTATAAATCCCTTCAAGCAAGGTATCCCTAGTGAATGGTCGGAGATGTTGTACAAACAAGCCCCTGGGCGCGAGTGGACTGAGCTCTCACGATTGAGGTATAAAGAATCCTACCAAGTGTTATCACTAGGTAGCGCTATGCGAATTGATAACTCAGACCGAATCAGAGAGCCTCGAGAGTCAATCTCCTGATTTCGAACACGATGAAATCTGGCTAGGAGTGACAACCCGCAAGGGACGTTTCCCCAAGTGCAATAACCTGCTGTTCCGCGTGTATCAACTTGCGGGCGGCTCGAGTGGCTAGAAACTACAAAACAGAGGTCTAGGTCGACTGCTCAGTGGCGAAGACTGTTTGAATCGACTTGATCCTGATTCACCAGAAGGATCATGGAGAGTTCGTAGGCCTCCTGGCAGTCGGGCCTGAGTGGAGAATATGGAAAGACTACTTGGATGCTAGCTTCGGCCGGGAGGTGCTCACACTTGAAAGATCGCTAGGCCTGTACAACACCAATATCCTTTACCGGATTATGGTGGATCGGGCCCGCATAAAGAAATTTTGGGGACAAACACCCAAAAGGGTCCTTACAGGACAGAAACCTCTGTGCCCGAAATAGACAGCACAAGGCGTAGGACCAGAACGGGTAGCCAATGATACCCATGTATTTCAAGAACTTATCAGACCAAATGTCTTTAAAAGCCGTGAGCTTTCCGATAGGCCCTCCATTCTTCCATTTTCCCAAACCATGTTGAGTTGGGAAAGCTTCGCATCGGGCTATGAATATTCCTGGCGATGGGAATAATGTCCGTTTTGTTGTATTTCAGGAAGATAAGCAAGCTCTCGCGCTGCTGGAGTGATAAGGAGCTTTCGAGCCGAGCGCGTTTCTTTCTTCCTAGGGGAAGCTGGTTCTCCTAACTGGCTTTGCTTTGGCGGTGACCTGTGCGGTCAAGTAAAAGGAGAGGCGAGGAGTATTTGACTGGAAATTGATTCATAGGGAGCCAAAAGCTTAACCAAGGGGGTTGATATTTGAGGTGGTGGAACTGATCACACAAAATATTAGGGGGAATCGAGTCGATTCGCCAAGGTACCAACTTTCACAAGGGAAGGTTTGGGGGCGAGATATTTGCCTATTGGTTCGTATAGGAGGGAACTGAGATAGGGGTAAGATCGTGCTGGCGGCAATAATGATTGCTGTTATACGGAATGTATTCCACATATTTTTGGAGACAACGAGCTGGTGTGCTTTGCTAGTCCTTTGAGAGTTTGACTGAGGGAGCTATTTGCGAGGCTGGTGGTGATTTTTGTTTCTTGCAAAAAGAAAGGATGTTGTAAATGAAGGAAAAGATGTACTTGCTTGTAGATAATGTACCGGTTGTATGGACTCGAAGGAAGTGATTTCGGAGGAGGTTGCGTGGTATTGACTACCGATTGCATAGACTCGAAGAGTTTTCGGAGGAGGTTGCAGCCTCAGGAAGCTAGTGGGGGGGTATATCAGCTTGTAGAGCTCAGAAAAATTCCCGTGATGAAGGCCAAATGCCAGTCGATATAACTTCTCAGCTCTATACACCGTACTGAGATCATGAATCCAGGGAAGATCATGGATCTCCCTCTGTGAAGGCCACATGGCTTTGGAGTGAAGAGAGACGGATTGGATGGAGGAAGGCAGCACTTGCTGTTCAACAGAGAAGTAACGAAGGCATTGCGTCGTTTGAAAATTTGGGACTCGTTATGGCCTGGAGGTGTTTGAATCCTTCTTCTTGGTCGTTCGTGGCTCGGGCTGGCATCTTTACAACGAAGAAATGACTCTTGATATCTTGCCCAATTCTTCTCTATTCACGTGTCCGGGTATAGATAAGTGATTATGAATTAGAGCCATGATCATCCGCCCTCAGGATTTGAAAGTTGCACCCATCTTGCCCCCTATTCCATGTGGCCTTAGTTGACTGCAAGACGGAGGCGGTACAAGGCGGCCGAGACTCGAATTTGAACTGGTGAGCGCACGTGATACAGAGAAGTACCTGCAGACCTTGATGAATATTGCTACCCTTATAATGGCAAACAAACTGGATGATGAATGAACAAATAAGCACGCAAGATAATCAGATCACGTTGTTCAATCCGCGTGAACAGATATCGGCTTGACATAGACACTGAATTGATTAACGCGTGGTCACGAGGCCAAATATCGCGCTATCAAGAAACGCGAGAACCGTGACCGAACCGCGTTGAAAATTTACCTCGACCCCCACCTTCCCCGAAATCAACACCCTCTATGCCGCCACCACCGATACCATTTATCTTCCCTCTTGGTTGATAACGCTTTTCTCAGCTCTTCATACCGCACTGAGGCTTCATGAAGGTAGGGGAGTTGCGGTATATCCACACTTCATAATCGATACAAATTCTTTGCGTTATTCAATGGCCGACAGCTCAGTTTACCACAACAGACGCCTGTCACATTCTCCTGTATTTGTTTGCTTCTATGACCTATCCACCTTCCAACCCCTGGAAATGCCTTTTCCTTCTCACCTCAATCAATCTGAAATTGATTGATTGTTCCTTAACTATTCAATCGCCTGCATTGAATTCGTTCTCCTGCCTCTACTTTATCTATCCATCTTGTCTCCTTCCCTCGACTCTACAACCTCTTCCCTCCCCGATAATCCTGCTCATATTCAACATAGCTTGGTACTGACAGCTTCGGGGCCAGATTTGCCGCTGGCTTGATTCGTAGGAATTGTTTGGACAGCCTCTACCAATCTCAAGCTTCCACAAACATATTTCACGCAATATTTCCGAATTCAAGCTGCTCCACAACGACGCCCAAACAACCCCAAACGTAACTACACCTTCATCTCATCGCCTTTCGCCCTGGTACTCGATGTCAACCACGCACCAAAACCTCCATGGAACCTCGAGGAGATCTAGACCTCCAGTGGCAGGCTCCAGAGCTCCTCGAATGGATCATTCACGCATCACCAGAACACGCCCGAATGAGAATGACAATGGCAAAGGCACAGGTCCAGATCAGCAACTTCTGAGACCACGAAATGTGTGGGAGGATTGGGACGAGCTCACCATCAAGCTTTGGCCCGTTCACCCCTCAGAAACAACATACAACCTTTGGAGAATCTTCAGTAGATATGGCCAAATCAGTTTCATCGACATTTATGAGAGCAACCAACAATCAGGAAAAACCGGCCTCGTCAGAATCAGATTTTCACCACCTCCAACAGTACCTTTCTGGAACAATGGCCAGGTTTTCATCGACCAAGGCGAAGGCCCCTCTGTCCAGTATCTCGTGAATGTTGAGCTTGACAAGTCAAGACCGCCGCTTGAAGTCCAGAGTCCGGTCAAGAAGCACGTTCGCTATCCTGCGAGAATGAAACTCTACGCTTCCGCCCTTCATTTTGGGCTCATGACCGATCCGCAATCGCTGATGCCTTTGCATGTGGTTCGGCCTGTTGCTTTTCATGATACTGCCTTCGTGGTTGACCTCCTTAAGAACAAAATCACAGCTACCTTTACTGTGCAATTTCCAAACCCAGAGGGTGGTGTCGGCAGATTTGATCGTGAAAACAAGTACATGTTTCAAGTCCCTTTTAGTCAACTGACTACGATTAAGCATATGGTGGTCAACGCCAAAGCTTTTGCCTTGATTATTTCTTTAAACTCACCACCGCAATTCTTCCGCAAGAGAGTCGATGAGTATGCGGGTCATTCAGACGGATCCCCCCAATGGAATGAGATGGACACTTGGTTCCGCCAGACTGATGTGGTTTATGATCCGTATCGTCTTCAAACAGAGAAGATCACTCTTCATAAGGATCAACCAGTTATTGACATCGGTACGTCTACCGGCTTCGTTAAATAGAAAGTCACTGATAACTGCAGGTCGGTGGACAACCTACTTCTTCGAATTTCCCAACCTGGACAACAGCCCCGCCACGTTCGACACCATCAAGCAGGCACTTCAGGATTACAACATCGAGATCACCACAATTTCCTCTCTGAATAAAGTTCCCAGCCGTGAGCCTGATCTCTGGCCTTTGATTGATCCACGACACTCGGCAGACGCCTCAGGCGATCTCCAGTATTTGAGTGAGGGTGCATATGTTCTCCCTTTTGAGGTGAGATACCAACTGGAAGTATGTATTTCTCGGGAAATACTCAACGAATATAATGTCACCCGAGGATTTGTCAAGAAGCTCTCTGAAATTGCTTCTGTTGATGCCGCGAAGGCTCGCAATATTCTCGAGTATGTGGCCGGTCAAGAGAAGCGTGTCTATGATCCGATGACCATCTTCGAGGACCAAGAGGCTCTCGCTTTCACAGCTAAGACTGAAATTCCCCACTACTGTGCCTATTCACGAAAGGCTACCATCACACCGTCAACTATGTACTTCAGTTCACCTACGGTTGAGACGACCAATCGGGTTCTGAGACACTACGCCAGAGAAAATCGAGATGGTCGGTTCCTCCGCGTTCAATTCACTGATGAATTGGCTGAAGTGAGTATGCACCTCGCCCCTTCATCAAACGAAAGCTAAAATTAGACTCTTAGGGACGCATCAACGCTTGTGTCGATAATCAAAAGAATGACGAGCTGTTCACGCGAATTTACAGAACGCTCTTCAACGGTATTCAGATTGGAGACCGTCACTATGAATTTCTAGCTTTCGGCAATTCTCAGTTCCGAGAAAATGGTGCCTATTTCTTTTGCCCTACGGAGCACCTGTCCTGTGACGATATTCGTGGCTGGATGGGACACTTCTCCGACATCAAAGTTGTTGCTAAATACGCGGCGAGACTTGGACAATGTTTTTCTACTACCAGAGCTATAAATGGTCTCTCAAAGCCTGACATCGTCAAGATTGCCGATGTTGAGAATAACGGCTACACTTTTACAGATGGGGTGGGCAAGATCAGTCCCTTCCTGGCCCAGATGATCTCGGCCGAGCTTGGACTCCGTACTAATACAGCTCCATCTGCTTTCCAATTCCGTCTTGGAGGCTGTAAAGGGGTCCTTGTGGTCTGGCCAGATGCTAAAGAGAAGGAGGTTCACATTCGAATGTCTCAACAGAAGTTCACCGCCGTCTACAATGGACTTGAGATCATCCGATGCGCTCGATTCTCATGTGCTACACTGAACAGACAAACTATCACCATTCTGTCTGCCTTAGGGGTTCCGGATGAAGTCTTCTTGAAGATGCTCAGCGAACAGCTTGCGAATTACCAGACTGCTATGGATAATGACGATGCGGCGGTCAGTTTGTTGCTGAGATACATCGATGACAATCAGATGACTATTAACATTGCCACTATGATTCGAAACGGATTTATGGCAGAGAAAGATCCCTTCGTGCTCTCACTTCTCCATCTTTGGAGATCTTGGTCGATTAAGCTTCTTAAAGAGAAGGCAAAAATCATCATTGAGAATGGTGCATTCGTCCTCGGTTGTGTTGATGAGACGTTTACGCTTAGAGGCTACACCATTTCGACCGCTCCACATGGCGAGCAGGTCGCTGAGGAAGAACTTCCTCAAATCTTCCTTCAGGTTCCGGACAAAAGCGATCCCAATCGCTACAACATTATCACAGGCATTTGCTTGGTCGGTCGTAACCCCTCCCTGCATCCTGGCGATCTCAGAGTTGTTCAAGCCGTCGATGTTCCAGCCCTCCATCATCTACGGGACGTTGTCGTCTTTCCTGCGTCAGGAGATCGTGATGTCCCAAGTATGTGCTCGGGCGGCGATCTTGACGGAGACGACTTCTTTGTGATTTGGGACGAGGCTCTCCGACCACGCGAATGGAACTGCCAGCCGATGAACTACATTGCTCCCAAGCCTAAGCTTCACAATCAGCCGGTCCAGATCGTTGACTTGATGAAATTCTTCGTACGCTTTATGAAGAACGACTCTCTTCCGGCAATTGCCCATGCCCATCTAGCTCAATCGGACGCACTGCAAATGAGCGTGAAGGATCCAAAGTGTAAGTCGCTTCGCCTCATTCATCTTGCCCTGACTTACCTAACTAACTCCTGGTAGGTATTGAATTGGCCAGTTTGCACTCGAAGGCTGTTGACTACGTAAAGACCGGCGAGGCTGCCCAGATGCCCAAGCATCTTCGCCCTCGAAAGTGGCCACACTTCATGGAGAAGAAACACAAGCCCAAGACTGCTCAATACCACTCGAATGAAATCCTCGGACAGCTTTATGACAAAGTTGAGACCGTTGATTTCAAGCCTCAATATGAAGGTCCATTCGACAAGCGTATCCTTAAAGCGTATATCTTGGATGACGCGATCTTGAAGACTGTCAGACAGATCAAATCAAAGTACGACACGGCCATGAAGCGCCTGATGGCTCAACAGGAGATCAAGACGGAATTCGAGATATGGTCTACATTTGTGTTATCCAGACCCCGTGTTGGAAGTGACTACAAAGTCCAGGAAGAGATCGCACGCCTATCAGATGCACTGAAGGACCAATTCCGAGCAGAGTGTATTGGAAAGGCCGGCAGCAAGGAATTTGCGGTACTTGGTCCATTCGTTGCTGCAATGTACAAGATCACTAAGGAAGAACTTGACATCGCTCTGGCTGAGTGCCGAGCAACTAAAGTGGTCGGTGATCGACAAGTGCCGGCTCGGAGAATGGAGCCCAAGCACATGCCACTGATCTCTTTCCCTTGGCTCTTTGAGAAGGAACTTGGTCGCATTGCTACTGGTATCGACACTTCAGAAGAGCTTGAGGATCTGGGAATTGCGAACCTGGTCCTCAAGGAGCCGGGAAGAAAGCGCACTGGTGGCGTGGCCGCCGAGGATGATTACATCACTCGTGAGGATGGGGTCCTGATCCACCGCGGTGAAGAGCTCGACTTATTCCACCAAATGTCTGACTCGGAGAATGATGCTGATGAGAGCGATTTCGATGAGGCTAGACCCCGAGCTTGGGATGAGCATGAGACGATGATAGGTCGAGATGGCGAAGAGGTGCTCGCTACGGAATTTGAGATTTCCGAGGGCTCGGTTCCAGATTATATCCGCAAGGGCACCGGTGTCGAGGACGTGGTGCCACAAGTTACACTTGAAGGACTAATTGATCCGCGAGAAGCTGCAAAACGAGGTCAAGACTCCAACCATTCCGGTCTTGGTTCATTGTTCAGTGACAGTCGCAATAATCCCCAGGCCAGCACAGACATGAAGCGGACCTCTTGTGGTGATCCTAATACAGAACATTTTACTCCAAAATATTCGCCGAACGCCAGTGAAAGTAGGGCGCGCTCTCGTTCTGCCTTCGATGACCTCGCCGAGCTGGAATCTGACTCTGCCGAGGAGATTAAGGAGGAGATTGTTACGTTCGACATTAAGGAATCATCATTTGATAAACTGGCGAAGCTAATCAGCGACGAGACAGCATCTACTCCATCTCCCGAGCACGATTGCGAAGTCGAGGAAGAGGAAGTTTTCCTGGATGTTAAGGAGTCCTCACTGGAAAAACTGAATCGTATGATGGGGTCTTGAAGATTGCACTCCCGACAGTGGTGGCTTACTGAGCGCAGCACGGCCAAGGGAAGGGGTGCGAGTTTCCACAAATCTTTTTTATTTGCGATACTCGGAGTGGCCGCATTTTTAATATTGGCTCTGTTTGGCCGTCAACAGGCGCGGGGCGTTACGGGGTGTGGGTGTTTTTGTGGGGGCGGCTTTATAATACCCAGCATAGCGTTGATTTTCATGGCGAGACGAAGAGTTCAGGTTTCTCGCGATAGATGCCAAGGTTCCCGAAGATGAATACAAGGCGAAGGCTTTCAGGGAACCGCTTATTTTGCTTACTTGATTGTTGTGATTTGTTCTTTCTTTGGTTCCTGGTACCGCAAAGATCCTACTCTCGTTAACCCTGCCGTATATCTTCGCGGATTTCTGTTCGGCTTTCGTCATATCCACAAATCTCGTTTAACTTTCTCCGAGGGACCCATAGCCGCTGGTTAGCCTGATATTTCCTCCCGTTTTTTCTGAGAAGCAGGCGTATTCGTAGGAATCGAGTGGGGAGATACGACAGATTCCAACTTCATGCCTCAAGCCTGACCCAGTGAGGGGAAGTGAAAACTGTATAATCTTCGGGATTCGCCTACCTGTTCTTTTGTACGTAGACTACTATGTCAGAGATGTGGCTAGAGCAGTAGAAGTACGGCAGCAAAGGTAATAAGGCTTTTCATCTCCCGGGCGGAAAAGGATTGGATGTGTTTTTGGTCCAGCTGCTTGTTTCGGGGACTGCGGTTTACATATAGTTAGGTCATGTACGTGTTGAGCATCCTTAGGCGAGTCTAGGAAGATGCTGCACATAGGACTCGTGACTCATATTCATTCATTAAGGTATAAGTATGTAACGATCCGTCCGGTGAGGGAAATGGGTACTTTTTTTCTAGGAGACAGAGAAAAGGGGGCAGAAATTGAGTAACGAACGGTTAAGGGGAAGATATGGGAAAAGGGAAGAGTGAAATAGATTGAAGTGCGTGTGAGTGTGAGCATGGCAGATGGGTCTGTATGTATGTATGTATGCAGCTTTTTTCTTCGCCTTGTAGACAGACAGACAGTTAGTTGATGTTTTGGGAAATAGTACTGGTATGGTATGGTATGGTATGGTATGGTGGTAAGTAAGAGATGATTGTAACCTGCAAGCAAGCAAGCGAGGTTTGTTGACTAGCCGAATATACAAGTCAATAAAATAAAAGCCCCTTTTCTTGCTGTTCCGGTCTGGGAGCGGAAAAGCCATTACGTGGAATGCTCTCCTGCACTTTAAAATTACTGGACTGGCCTGTTGTTGCTTTTCATTCTTCTCTTCTTCCTTGTGCAAGACTAATTCCGAGACCCTTTGGTGATGAGCCAGATTGCTAGAAAAAATCGTGGACGTCTGGGAAGAGTATCGGCATACCCATCCATCTTTCTCTTTTGCTGACCATGGAAATGATCCATCGGGATGGGAGATGTAAATATGCAACTTGGTTCCTGTGGCCCGAAATGTTGGAATCGAGACCGCGTCGTTTTACCAAGGGCCCCGTTTGGTCTATCTCAATGATCGATTGTGGTTTTCCCTGAAACTTTATAGCGACAATCGTACTTTGAAAAAGGGGATTGATCAGCTTTCGATATACCTGCAATTTTGTATTTCGATCACTTTTTAAGGTCCAAACGCCGATCGGGGAAAACCTCTGGGCAAATGCATAGTATTCCCAAAAATATCTTGGACCAGACGGGCCTCAATTCAAAGTAGCCCCTCGAACGTTCCACATTCTCGTCGAAGGGATCTCCATTGATAGCTGTAACACAAATCATATTTGACTCCAAGATGCCTCGCACCCTGACCTACGGAACCGAGAGCGCTGCAAACAAGGCAATTGGTGGAGTTCCAACAATCCACTACGTTGACTTCAAGTTCCGAGGACGAGGTCAAGTTTTCCGACTATTTCCCATTGTAAGGGTGTCCAATCAAATTCTGTGCAGAGGAAAACCAACTGAGGTTAAGGATGCCGGCGCTGCCTACGAAGACATCCGATACAACTTCGAGAAATTGCCAGAACACAAGCGAGCCTTCGCCGAGATGAACCCAACTCGCGGCATCTCCATCATTGAGATGCCCAAAGGCAAGATCCTCACGCAGAGCTACGCTATCCTCAGACACTGGGCCAGAAAGATGGGTGGCTACGACGGAAAGACTGAAGACGAGAAGTACTGGGTCGACGCCATCACCGACATCGTCATTGACTGCCCATCTCCCATCCCCATTCGAGTACATGCCTCTACTGACTTGGAACAGGGCCAACCCTCTTCGTCGTGGCGTTCTTCTCTGATAACCAGGAAGTCGACTACCCTAAGCACCAAGGAGGCCGCACTCGATACCTCAGGGCCATCGAGACGCACCTATAGGGCTCCGAGCTTTCTCGCCGGGGACCGTTCGTTGCTGGCCACGAGATCACGTATGCGGACTTGTTCCAGCTGTTCCATGATGAGAATCTCATCCAGGATGGGCGAAGGGGGCTCCAGGAGTACCCGAGGTTAGTGCAGTTGGTGGATGCTGTGCAGAACAGACCGGACATCAAGAAGTTCTTTAACAGCGATGCATACTTGGGTTAAAGATCTTTAGGGCGTTTGAGTACATCTCTTAAAAAAGAAAAGTAATCAAGTAACCTTCGCTGGTGTTGGCTCTGAGGATTTCGCGAGTGATGTTTTCCGCTAGGGCCCGTGTCGTCGTGGGAGGACCTCAAATATCCGAGAGAAGTAGCCCTTGGTGACTCTCATAGAGTAGACATATCACTGCTTGCCTCAGAAATAGGTTCACGAACTATATCCTTGTAGAAATTTGTGATTGCAGGTCCATTGCACAGTTGGGCAGCTCGCGAATTTCAATGTCTCGTTTTCGCTTGCGTGTCGGGCCGGCATTAAGCCGGTAGAGTCCCGAATCCACAAATTTATTCAGACAGCTCAATCTGCCTCGCCTGCGCCGCTGTCCAGGTCTTGCGCCGCTCGAGTCCGGCCTCAAGTCTTTCGTTAATGATATCTTGATACCCGCGAAATTCCCGCGATCGATGGCCTTTCGGCAAATCCAGGTCATGGCCGAACCACAGTCAACAACACCAGCTCCTGGAGCTGGAGCTTCCACAACCTCCAACTCAGAGTCCATGTTCTTCTCCCAACGGGCGCGCCGTCAACTGGGTCTCTTTGCTGCAGGCGCTGGCTTCTTCCTGCTCTCTACCACCGTCACTCGGAGATCGATCGCCCGCCGAAACAAGTCCATCATGCCCAAGTTCTACCAACCGAGCAATCGAACAACCATCGAGATCAATGGGGCCGTAGAGGCTATTGAGGCTCTGAGTCTCGCTACATTAAACGTTGCCAGCGTAGGAATTATGTTTACAGGAGGGCTGCTTTGGGCCTTCAACATCAGTTCAGTCGATGACATGAGGAAAAAGGTGCGGAAGAACATCGGGGTGGTTGCGGAGCCGACAGACCAGGACGAGGAACAAGAGATGGAGGAATGGTTTGCCACGGTACTCGCGAGGAAAGAGTTCAAGGCGTTACGAGGGGAATTTGGTGTCCGGGACGATGGTACTATGGACAAAAAAGGGGACAGTACCAAGGACAAGCGCGAGGATAGTCCAAAGAAGGACGACGAACCGCCGCAGAAGAAGCCTTGAACAGAGAGAATCCTTCTGGGAATAATCAATCATCACGGGCCGGGCTCCTAACTTATCTGGGACCAGGGTGTGGCGATGCTGGACGAATGAAGCTCGTCACGCATTGTAGAGCCAATTATGCGTGGAATATGCTCTACAAAAACACGCACCTCATACTGTAGCATCAAATGTCACGGTCACGAATGCGTATACAGTACTGAATGAAGATCGTTCGCCTTCTGGGTCCTGCTGGGACAGCACAGCCCAGGCAGCCGTGATCACCTACTATTTGCTTCTGGGGAGTGTCAATGCATTTTCGCTTTTTTTTTTGGAGGGAAAAAAAGAAAGAGAAAAACCCTGGTCGTTCTTCATTGGCTTCGAGCCCAAGGCATCTGGGATGTTTCTACTTGATCGGGCGAACCATATTCCTACGATTTCCATGGGCTCTGCAGCTGTCAGCAAGGGGTGGCCAACTCTCGGGACGGCCAGATCAGAACCCAATCTCTCCTTCTGCGGCCTTATTTCCATGCCTGCATCTCCTGGTACTTGCTGAAGAGGAAGAACTGTCTCTGAGCATTCATAATCTCATACCTTTTCGCAGATGTATAGACTGTCAATCTCCCAGCATGAGTCCACCTCAGCCTAAGATCATGACTTGCAAAGTTTCAACGCGCAAGTATAGTACGTCCTCGTTTCGCAGCCGTCGAAATGGAGACAGAAGGGAGGCAGAGTTGTGGTTCAGTCGCCCATGCTCAGCATCCCCAAAGACATCTCGCGCGTCCCTGTTAGGCGGTTTAACGGAAAATCAGAGAATACGGTTTGTTTCCTCCCAAGAGAGGATTCGAGAGAAAATCCAGCGACGCTTATCAAAGAATTCATATCAGCACAACCAAAACGAGTACCAATGCTCATGGAGTTGCCATGTCTGATAGTTCAACATGTTCCGAGTTCAAGTACCACCGAGGCGACAGGCTCTGGATCTCTATAGGTGCCAATCAGAATGGACACATGCAAGATGTTCCTGTGGTCAACCCCCGAACCTATGAGAGTGGTACTGTTCCTATTGAGCAACTATTAAGCAAGTATGCAGGTACCCCAGGATAAAGAGCACAGCATGGTGTTCCAAAAACCAAAAGCCAACGCCAAGAACTACATACCTTGGAAGGCAGCGTACGCGATCGGAAGCTTGCCGGGCCAAAGTAGTACATACATTTACATGTCATGGGCGATATGTCAAGTCAAGACCTACTAGATGGCTCAAAAGCGACCACAACAGCTGTCGAGCCCCCATCCAAAGGTGCTCGCGATGGGGATTTAAGGTACATGTCTGTCTTCTTTAAAGTCAAGCCAAAGCTTCGACGCCCGCCAAATGCGCATGCCGGGAAGCTTCCGCGGTAGGATATCTCCTTCTCTGACGTCTAGGAACTGGAACGGGAATGGCTTGTACGGGCTTTGCTCCCACCTAGACGTATCCTTGACATGGGAGCTGCTCTTTCTTGTATTGGGTCTAAAGCAGCTTGCTTGCTTGCTTGCTTGCTGCACGGGTCTGCTTCGCTTGACGCTGCTTCGCTTGTTTGGACGCCGGAGGAGGAAGCATGATACCGCTAGGGAGAGGGCTTACGGTATTAGTGGATGGGCGGCTTCAATCATGTCAATCTCGGGCATGGAGCAAAAGTGCTGCCAGGCAGCCAGGCAGCCAGGCCAAGTTTTCATCGTTACAACATCTCGGGATGGCGATACGAGCAGAAGCGACCAATAAAAGCGTCCCCAAATATACCACGGTACAGGCGTAACTGTTACCCCTTGAGGGTGCCTTGAAAATTTAGTTTCAACTTTAAATCCCCTGGTTACCCTACCCTCAGGGGGTAATACTTACGCCTGGGACGTACTAAACTAGACTTTTGAGGCACCCTCGAGGGGTAATACTTAGGCCTGTACCGTGGTAGTTTGCATATCAAAACACTATTATTCGCTTGATTTGCATCTTAAGTCGTTGACCTTTATTTTGATATGCTCTACGTAGTATTTTGATATGGCTGATAACGTTCCTTGTTCAGCCAGCTCGGGTCTGGTACACAAAACTAGAGTTCTATTCAGCGCTAAGATCGGAAACCCTGGCCGTCCTCGAGATATCCTCCATGCGCTCTACGGGTTATACAAAGAGCACGTGCCCTTCTTCCTTCCTGCCCATCTATCCACATTACCAAATACACATACCAAACACGCAGGTTACCGAACTTTCCAGTGTACCCAAAGAAAGCCTAACGCCGCTCTATATGCACCTAACCTATAGCCACTCACGATCCGGGGTAATCCATCCCCTTGTTGAAAATCGGCGCATCGCCATCCTCAAAGCTTCCTCTCCTTCCCCAATTCCTTGGCTGCCGCTTCAGAAATGCACCCACGGCCCCGAGGTACCCTTCGTGCCGTAGGAAATAGGCCTTTTTCTCGCCGCTACTCCAGAACTTGATGGCGTAGCTGAGCGTGTTCATGGTTTGTCTGTGGCCGCGGATGAAGCTACCCCCGAAATAGATTGTGGAGAGAGAGTGTTTCTCAGATTGCAGGTAGGCAATTTGACCTATGTTGTTGGAGATGGCGTAGAGGAGGGAGCGGGAGATATCTGGGGCGGAGAAGGGCGGGGAGGAGTGTGCTTCCGGTGGTGGAGGGTTGTCTTGAGGAGAGGATGACGAAGATTGAGAGGAGGAAAACGCGTCGCCATTTGTGAGACCGCCGCTATCTTCTGCTTCTCGTTCCGCTTCTCGCTTCATACGGAATACCTTGCCGAAGGAACTTGCAATCGTGCTACTCTTAAGTCCGACTTTTCCATAGTCGCCGCCGTAGATGTCTCCTACTAGCATATCGACTTTGGCGTTGTCGCCGTGCTCAGCCATTCCCAGCATGTCGTCAAAAGTCCGGGCTCCTGTTAGGAGAGAAAGAAGCCCCCAGAGCGTGCCACCCCCGAGAGAGGTCCCGCCCACTCTATCGTGTTTCCGTGGTCCGGAGACTTTGATCATGCTGACCCCTGATCCGATGTTAACCAAGAGGTAAGGGTATATGTCTGCACGTGGCTTTTCAAAGTGCATCGGATCTGACTCGCTGTATGTAAAGACCTCGCGAGGGATTTCGGTGATGAAGAAATCCAGGCCTGGGTTGTATTAGCATACTCTATACTATAAATAAGAGGAAGCTTTGGAGCGCTTCTGTATACCAATTATCAAACACGCCATTTCCTCCTCTCTGAGTACATCGACACCTAGAGCGTCTCGGAGCTTGTCGTAGAACTTGTACGCCCCTCCTCCTGTTGCCATTACGCAAAGATTCCCCGGCTCGGATCCATTGAGGGTCTGCTGTTTGATCTTGTGCTGCTTCATGAACTCTATGCAGTCGTCAATGCGATCCGTCTCGAAGGTTATGAAGTTCAATCGCCCGCCAGGTTCTCGCGAATGCGGCTCTCGAGAGAAGTATACCAATTTGGCCAGGGAGCCACCAATCTGCGATTGTGTGAGCCTGGCTGATCCATGTCATTCTTGTTGGGAATAAGAAGCGCATACATCCACGGCAATATGGCTCACTACCGCCGTGTGGTTCGGTAACCTGATATCCCTCGACTCGTTCCCCCCATTTGCATGCGCAGTCCTATTCGGGCTCGGGGAGTCCGCGTTGTTATCAACAATGAACGCGCCCTTCACATTGATCTTGACCGAGCCTGGATGGATAATGGTGTTGTCTATTTCGGCGGTGTCAGTACGCATGCGGAGGGTGCCGTCCCTCTGCGGCGCGTCCGCAGACATGGCGGGTTGATGCTGGCGGTAGGGCCAGGGAGTTATTAATGTTCAAAACGACATCGAGGGATAAGAATGTGGTCGTCGGCGTGGACTGGTTGATGACAGTCAGCCAGGCAGTCAGTCAGTCAGTCAGTCCGAGACCGAGCCCGAGCCCGAGCTCCAGCCTCCCCCTCCTTTCTCTTATCGATAAAGATTGAAGGTTTTGTTTTGTTTGTTTAGCCCCGCCTTTCCCATCCTAGGCAGGTGATTGTTTTACATTGATGGGGATGTCAACTGTTGTGTATACGTAGTATATTTGTCGTGTCCCTTGTAATATATGAATAATATATAAATAATATATAAATAACTTATAAATAACACATGAATTATTAATAAATTATTTAAATTTTACATTTATATCTATAGATAATGTATAAATAGTTTATAATTAAATATGTCAAATAAATATATACACCCATGAGCTCTTGGTATGACGTATCAGTTCAAGTTGAAACCCTCTGTCAGATTGATTGACATATATATAAATTTTCTGTAACAAAACCTGGCTTCTTCCGTGTCTTTTCGCTGGCGTCCTAGTTTTGGTACCTTTTCATTTACTCACTCATTCATATCTGGCTCGTTTCTGCTCTCGCGTCCCTTCCCTCTTTGCTCAGAGATCAGATCGTCATGAACATTGGGTACACTTCGGCTGATTCCCATCCTTCAAACCTTTAATCCTTCAAGCATTGATCGAGCGATTAAAGTACCTGTAGAAGTAGAATGTCAAGTTCTTAAGCGAGCAATCTCCCGAGATGAGCTCCGCAGGTACTCTTAGAGTCTGGGACCCTAATCCATTTTAATCTGCCTTTGAGCCTAGAAAGCATGAACACCCGTCGAGGCAGGATCCCAAGGGGGGCACGGATTATACTATGATACGTATTTTTGCTGTGTGTTTTGGATGGTGCTATATTTCTCATTTTTATACTACAATTACCGTCACCGGCGTCATAGGTAGGTATTCGTGCCAACACCTACAGGTGCAGTGAAAGGATCTCCCTCTCTTCCTTCTCCGGAACGCATTTTCTACTACCCAACTTCGATTTATATAGCTCAGCAAGTTAAGAGAGCCTCCGAAGTCCCATTTCGCAAGCTCACTCAATCACTTTGGCTGTCGCGTAACAGGCAGGTCGAGATGGTGAACCCGGCTCCAAAATCCGTTTAAAATACGCTCTTTCTTTCCTTGTTTCGGATGCCCGGACGAGCAGTGGCTGGTGCACTTTGAATAGCGAGGGTTTTCGCCCTGAACACGTTTCAGAGCATACCTAGTGATCCCCCGTAGGTAGCTCCATTTAGGAAACTCATGTATAAATAAGCTGAGGATCTTGGCTGTGCTCATCTTAAGGATTGCCTCAAGTAGGGCGGGGAATCCTCCTCGAAAGCAAAGATAGGCAGCTTTGCGCATTTCTGGAAGCCCAAAACCACACACTCTCATTTTTTTTCTCTTTGTTTTTATCTTCGTCGACTTCCGGAAGTCCGCAACAGGACTAACTCTCACCACACACTCCTTTGTACCTACACACACGCTGTTGAAAGAGTCGCACTTTCCTTTGGCGCTCTTGATTGAGATCCCTACAACGCAATACAATGCCTAAGCGAAGCCCATCTATCGTAGTTTCGGACCTCCATGGATCGGATTTCTTCGCCATGCGTCTGCAATCCGACCTAAAGGCGGGCTTGTGGCTTTCGCCGACGAAGCGAGCGACGAGATGTCTGAGCTTGGCATTGATTCTTGTGTATGTGTATAATATTTTTTTTCTCTCTCTTCCCGACGGACATCCCGTGAGCTTTTGCTAATCTCAGGGTAAACACGCAGCGTCATCATAGTGCTGGGCCTAACGTACGAACAACAAACGTACCCCCACCAAACAGAACTGCATGGCACCGTAGGGGGATTGCACATGTACGGTTCCTCTCCCGAAGAGGGCTCGCCCAAACTACCCTACCTCGAAATCGCAAAGCGAGACGAAAGCAGCTACTACGACAGAAGTTAAGAGATGGGAGACTCGTAGCTGCTACCAGAACCTCATCGGCATGAGATGAGCCTTCCAAAATGAAATACAGACAGACACCCGATCTGAGGGCAACAGAACGATGATAACGAGAAGAGGAGAACAGGAGAGCAGGAGACAAAGAACTTTTTTCTTTTATTTTGGAAGCAAAGGAAGGGACGCGGCGTTCACGGGACTCGGCATGGTCCGCTTTCTATTCTCCGAGTCGACGAGGGGGTGGCCCGCGTATTTGGGATCTCGATATTTCGTGTCATTCGATTCTTTTTGGGTCGTGTGCTCTGTCATCCATCGGCGGATAAGCAGCAAACGGAATATCCACCATGGGGCCGTTGGACAAGAGCTTCGTTGCCACGGAAGGCGTTTGTTGTGGATTTGGAGTCTTCTTTTGGGTAGCAAAATAGATTCGCTGAAGAAGCGGGAAAGCTGGAAGGAGCATGGTCTGCGTGGTGTTGTACGTAGGTACGGTAGACCAGCTGGGTTGCAGGATCGCCATGCTAGGCATTTATGGCAGTTAAGCATATGCCAGAGCTTGCACTTTGAATGGAAGATTTTCCACCATTCCCAGGTAGTGATAAAAGAAAACGTTGTCATTTCCCATAAAAAACACCCGCGGCGCATATTTCGAGCCTGAAGTTGAAGAGTTTGAGGAATAACGGCTCGGTGACTGTGACTTACTTCCATCGCATCCGTACCGTAGTCCAGTAGTCCATGACATAGATTATCGCATTGAGCAAAGAGCTCTAATGCGATGGCGCTAAAGTCGCAAATAGATTAAGAGAGCAAAGTACCTTTGAAGGATTCACAGATCGCTGAGAGGGAAGGCAAAATTGGAAAGATTCAAGGCTGCAAGGTATCCAACCCCACTTTCTTGCCGAGATGGAGATCGGTAGCGTGAAAATATTTTTGTTTGGTACATATACTAAATTACTTTTCGCGAAAACATTATCAGCGTTGTTGGCTTCCCTGGTCGACTGCATCGCTCCGCTGGCGCAATGGTAGCGCGCAAGACTTCTATCCTGAGGTCCTGGTATCGTCGCGGTGAGATGAGATCACGGTGTCCGCGATACAGATGTTATCTTGAGGTTGTGGGTTCGAGTCCCACGCGGAGTGTGACATTAATTTTTTAAGCTGCCAAGACGTGGAGGCCCGGCACTTGAAAAGGCAACAAACAAGACGCCCCACCCAAAAAAATTTACATTGCTTCTTTCGCTCTATTTATGAGGTCTTTCGTTTTTGATTTTTTTCTTCGAGAGAAGAATTAATTACGAGGGCGCTAGGAAGGAAGTATGTTTGCCGAGCTTTTGTCTTCCTGTATGTATCAACTGCGGAGTAAGATCCCCACACAGTGTCAAAAGTGAGACGGTGACCGGATCGTGAGACGCTATTTCGCTTGATCACTCTTGGAGATTCGACCCCTCTTTTGGGGAATCAGATGGAACTGCTTTGTACGAGGTTACATACAGCGTTTAATATGTGGACTTTCGGGATATGGGCAGCCACAGATGCCGATTGATGCCTGTGTCTTTTGTCTTCGTCTTCGTCTGCCTTCACGCACCCACAGGCCGGGAGACCATGTAACCTGTGCGGCAGGATATGAGCCGAGATGCTGGATCGGAAATTCAGAATGATATCACAGCAGCGTGCCTTACGCTAGAGGTCGGTTTGCAGCATTCAATGTTAGGATCTAGATATGTCTGAGTTACTGCTTTACCTGACCGTTAGCTGTACTAGCGCGAAAGGGTGAACAACAAGTGAGTGACAATAGGTGCGTTACTGTAGACGCACTCGAACAACTCCCTGTGCAAGGTACAAGGTACACAAGGTACAAGGGCATCGACCCGAACTGAAGTCCATATAAATGTGTGAAGAAATGCTAGTTAGCCTCTCTCCTATTGATCTTCTACGGACATGGACATAGAACTTCACGTCACGTCACCAACAATCCGCTTTGTCTTCCTCTTCTGGAAAAGTCATGGGTTGGCTTCTAGCGAAATTCCACAGCCACATTCCGATCTTGCGATACTGATACACACAGGACTTCTTCTAACTATTTTACCCCTGTTGTACATGATCCGTCTCAGCCAGCCTCTTTCCTGTTCCAATGATCAGATCAGCCGATAGATAGGTACCTCGATGCTTCTCCGGGAAATTTGCATTCCCAACCTCACTGCCACTGCAACGTGCTCGCACCACGTTGCCTGCCTTACGTAAAAAAAATAAAGGATACTCAATCGAATACCTGCTCAGGCAGTTCCTTACTTCAATGGGGGGGTGGGCAGCAATGCGGCCACCGAAAGAAGTAATAAGCGAGTCCGTCGCGTGGGCAATGAAATGAAATGAAATGAATGGCATCGACATGAAATCAAACCTTTCTATGGAAATTCTTCGGCGCTGAACATGTTTCGTTTTGCGATTGGAGAAACCAGTGCCCTTGCCTGCTGCGGGGCCGGCTTTCTTCAATACTTTTTTCTTTATAAGACACCTTGTCGATTTTGCACTATTGACTCAGGGACGACCCGCTCAAGCGCCGCGCATGAATCAATCCCTTCTCTCTCTCTCGTGCGGGTCCAGCGCTCGCACGCCCTCGAGACGATGGCCTTTTTTCTGTTTTCTTTTTCGGAGCTCCACTCATTTCCGCTTGATTTTTTTTTATTCCCGAGACACGGCCACGGTCGGCATGTACTTTGTACGGATTATGTATTGCTGTATTCCTACTCCGTGTAATCTTGCGTAGAAGGAAATGAGCAAGATAAAACAAAAAATGGGGGGGGCGGGGGGGTTGATTGAGCGTGAAAGTAGAGCTCGATGTTGTGAACCCCTTTGATGATTCGCTTTCGCTTCTCTGCCACTGGCGCAGATTTGGATTTCATCCTGCTGTGAAAGTTCTGAAAGTGAAAGCCACTACTCACTGATCTTCCACGCCGCAAATTACCACTTTAGTCATGTCATTGAGCTGAGGTATCCCAAATCCCAAGAAAGAAAAGAAAGCACCGACTAACTTCTTGAGTTATTAAGAAGGTCGAACCAGATGAGACGAAATTATGAACTTATGAATATTAGTGACGTGCTGACAAATGTGCATGTGCTTCATGTTGGAAAGGGGCCTACTTCGTATTCTGTATTGAGATAACCAGGCTGGGCTACTCTAGCAATAATATCAATGCATTTGTAGAGGAGAGGGAGCTAAAGATGCAAACCGTGCGGGGGAAAAACAAATAGCATGGAGATAAACAAATGATCTCATACAAGGCTCTAGAGAGCTACATCTCCACCGAGGCCTTGGCCTGCAAGTACCTCTTTCGCTCCTTTTGCTTTCGAGTCCGTTGGGCGTCACCTGCTGATCATCGTCCCATTGTCCATCTGCTATGAAGATTAGAAGAAGAAGAAGAAGAAGAAATGGTCTTGATGAGAAGGTTGGGGAGAACTCACCCGCTGTGCGATGGTGCTTGTGATTTGCGACGTCACCGCCGTGGTGCTGTAGCCCTGTTAGCATACTGCTTGTCTTCTGCCATCGAGGGGACAACATACTTCACTTCCGCGGAGCTGTTGGATCCTCCAGACCCTCCCGCCCGATTCAAGGTCTTGGTAACCGTCACAGTTGGGCCCGTGATCCTGACTGTGCGGGTCTTCGTGGTCGTCGAAGTCTCGTTTCTAGTGACTGGAGTGGAAGCGATTCCTACAGCTACGCCATCGCTGCTGATGGTCAAGATGGAGGTCGAGGTTGTGGCGTTAGGGGACATGGTGGAATACTCGACGATGGTTGAAAGGGAAAACTCGCCTGCCGGTGCTACGAGGCTTTGGGTTGCGCCGAGGAGCAGCACGACGTCCTGGCGCTATTAGCATTTGGGGAATCTCGCGGAGAAACACCGGGGCACCAACAGAAGAGAAGGACGTTGAGAGAGAGACGGTGCTGGTTGCGGTCACGGGCACGAATATCGTATGTACAACCCAGACTTCTTCGATCAGAGAGCACGTCTCGATGCCGTTGAAGTCGGTAGTGCAGATCAACACCGTAATACCGGTGGGAGTATCGGCCGCGAGTGATTGCCAAGGAGCGGCATAGTACGACACTGTGCTTTGCGCATAGGTAATGATTGACGTAGACGGCGTGATGGTGGCTTGAGCTCCGCTGGTCACTGGCAATGTCGTTGTCGAAAGAGCGAAATCGACATGCGTCGAGAACGTCACATTATGCGTGCACTCGCTAATGGTCGTCTTCGAGAACGCATAGGTCAACACAGTCGAGCACGCCTCTTCCGTGACCGTCTCAAATACCGTCGAGCAGGTCGTCGTGCTCGATCCTGGCATATTGCACACCTCATAGACCGACACGACAGAAGCGACAGTCGCTCCCTCGGACGTCGGGCTCGGTAACACGACCTGGGCAGACGGGGCCGAGAAGACATAGGGATTTGTCGTGGTCGTGGTCTTCGCTGGGTTTCCGACTTGGTTGCGCCCAGTTTGCTCGGAGCGTTTAGTTTGGTTCCAGGCTGCCCGGCCTGGCAGCAAGATTGCATAGGTAGGAATAAAGCAAAGAGCCCAAATGAGAGTACACAAGAAGCAGTAATTAGCCATATTGCTGAGGCGATACAGGCCTGTGCTGTATTGAGAAAAGAGTGTTTATTGGAAAAAAGAGTGAATGTTGTAGAGTTTGGTCGGAAGACAAAAGTAATCGATTAAGAAAAATTCAATAAGAGGGGTTGCATGGATATACTGATGGCCCATGGCAACGCGCGCCATGCCAGACATCCATCGCGATCGCGCGTGAGGAGGATAGGAATGTAGAGATATATGGCGCGCTTCTGATCGTTCCAATCATCTTATATGGGGTACACCCTCCGCAGTTTCAGCTTGAGACATTGCATCGTGACCAGACAGACCCGCCAGTCCAAGTTCGAGTTCGTGGTATTGTCTTGATGATGTTGTTGCTGTTGTTGAAGTGAGGTTGTTGAGGAGAGAAGAGAGAGAAGGCCAGAGCAGGGGGACGTTGACGATTGAAAAGGGGGTCCACCCGGCCACCGTAGCCCCGATATCAGACATCAACTCCGAGATATCAAACAAATCCGCTCTCTTTCAATTACGATCCCGATCCATCAGCGCCTCTGAAATGCCTCCAAAGAAACATTCCAACCCGAAATCCAAAATCGCCACTCCAGCCCCCTCTCCTCCCCTTCTCCCCTCCTGGCCTCCCCTCAAGCCGCTCATCCCTTCCTCAGACCTTAAACTTCACTCTCTCCTCCCTTCCCAGATCCTCACAATCCCTAACTTCTTCACCTCCAGCCTGTGCAGAAGCTACGTGTCCTTTCTTGAGAAACTCCCGCTCACCACGACGCCCGGCAAGCCGAAGAAAGGGGACGCGCTCCGGTTCAACGACCGGTTCCAGGTGTTAGACGAGGGCTTCGCGAATCGGCTATGGCTTGAGACGGGGCTGCAGGAGTTGGTTTGTGGGCGAGATGAAGATGATGGGGAGGGCGAGGAGGGCGAGGAGGGAGTGATGGTCATGTCGAAGGAGCAGAGGAGAGAGTTGTGGTAGGTAACTGATCACGGCATCTATCTATCTTTTGGTCTCGTGATCTGAAGAGGAGTAGATCAGCTGATGCCGAGCTTAGGGGAGGCGAAGTCGTTGGTCTCAATCCCTCCATCAGAATCTACAGGTACACGAAAGGACAATTCTTCGATTGCCATTGTAGGTTCCCTCCTCCGACCTTTATTGTATCATCGTACCTAATGTCCCGCGCCAGACGATGAATCCAACGTACTGACCTTGGCTACCAAACCGACGCCGACGCCCGTAAAGACTACCTGGACTATGCTGCTGTACCTTACGTCTCCGAAGACGGGGTGCATAGGTGGCGAGACGGCCTTTTATCCAGACGAGATCACGTTTGGGGGGAAGAAGAATGTGGTCCAGGAGCCGGTTGTAGTCGGGCTAGAGACGGGGATGTGTTTGCTGCACAAGCATGGCAACGACTGCATGCTGGTAAGTCTATCCACCCTTTCCCTTGGAAGAGTGGCAACTAACCTCCCTACAGCATGAAGGAAGAGAGGTATTAGAGGGCGAGAAATGGGTCATCCGCTCCGACCTGTGCGTCAAGCGCGGAAAAGCCAAGTTCGCAGATTGAAATTGGAGAAACAGAACGCAAAAAGTGGTATGTGCAAATCGTGTGATTGATTGGGTTTCCAGTACCCCTAGAAGTGAAGGGCGAACCCAGGCTTCCGCACTCCTTAGTATCAACTCCCAACTGCTTCCACACCTTCCTCGGAATTGTCATCCATCATGATAACGTCCCCTCTACCGCATTTCCATACAAAATTACACCCAATCATCCTCCATTAACTCGTGCATTCATCCTCATTCCGTCGGCCGATACTGTTTCGACCGGTGCTGTTCCGCCCGGCGAAACCTCCTATCTATCCATCAATCACTCCTACTCCGTCCTGTCGTCGATCCTCTTTGTGAATTCCGACGCCTCAGCGTGTCTGACGGCCTTCAAGTCGGATACTTGGCGAGTGTTGACGGCCACCGGTGGATCATTGATCATCCATGCCGGAATTACGCGAGACGAAACGCAACTAGCGAAGAGGATGGCGACGAGGGTTGAGGAGGAGACGCGCATGATGAGATTCTGTAGGACAGCGCGGGTTGTCGGCTTGAAGAGTCGATATTAGGCGTTATGTGAAGGCTGGGTGGTATGGATGGATTAATTAGATAAAAAAGTGTATTCGAGTGTCCAGCACAGGAGATGATTTGGCAGTGCGACTGACGAGGGAGGTCGACCCGATGAAAGACGAAGAAACTTTCAAAGTTGGGTGTGATACAGAAGAGATGGGAGTGGCCTCACTTAAAGCCATGACCCGTTCACAAGATGAAAGAGGATTTGATGCTCGGTCCATGATCATGAAACAAAAGGTTGAGGAGCTTATCATTTCACTGGGCACTCCTGATCCCTTCATGCGACGATCTGTTGAGCCGAGGCATGAAGCCGGTGGACTCGCTAAGCTGCAAAGAGGTGGCTGGGGGCTATGATCTTCTTATGAAACTCCAGAAGTTTAGATGATAATGTACCCAAAGAAATGATCGGGGCGAGGAAAGTGCACAGAGTCCTGATCAGGCTAGCATTTGTAAAAGCGGCTGAAGAGCAAATTAGAAGGATGTTCTGTGGATGTCACGATGACTGATCAGGGTGAACGTTTGTTGATCCCGGCCTCCAAGCTGGAAGCCTCTGAAGGCGTCTCCCTCACCAGCATGTGTACCCTCCATCTACGACATGCAAAGCATCAGAGATGATGAGATAAATTGACGATGCCATCTCAGCCGAGGAGCCAGGCACAGTTACAATTTCGCTGCCGTTGAGAAAAGAGCTGGCATCGCTAGACATCCAGACGATCGTGCCTTGTAACTCACTTGGATGGGCGAGACGGCCCGGAGGAATTCTTTGGCCCATCCCTCTTCAATATGCTTGCCCTCCTTCTCCAGAAGATCTCTTATGAGGTCGGTTCTCATGTAGCCGGGACATTGACTGTTGACACGAATATTTCTTGATCCCCACTATCGGTGTCAGTGCCCGGAAGCTTGAAAGGCAGAGAGAGAGGCAAACATACTTCCGTCGCGAGACTTTTGCCATCAACGAAACCGCAGCTTTGGATTACACACTCTATTAGAGCCCCCCGATCATTGAATACTTTGCGCTTGAGAGACCTAGGCCACTGACCGCATTGTACACCGCTTGCTTCTGGGGCCTGACGCAAACCTGGGCGGCCTGACGCAAACCTGGGCGCTCATGCTCGAAACCAAGATCAAGTTTCCCTTCCGTCTGTTCTCGATCCAATACCTACCCGCCGCCCTCGCAAAGAGGTAGCTCCTGTGGACATCGACATCAAAGATCTTCCGCCAGCGATCGAACGGGTACTTCTCCCCCTCGAAGTTCTCTACGATCCCGGCCGCCGTGACGACGACGTCGACCTGCCCAGAGTCCTGGACGATGGAGTCCCAGGTGTCACCCATATGCGCCTCGGAGGTTACGTCGCAGGCGTAGACGCGCCATTCGGGCTTGCAGGTGGAGGCCGTCGAGGGCTGGGAGGAGATGTACTCGCTGATGTGCTTGATCGATTGCTCCCCTGCCTCGAAGGACAGGTCTATGCATGCTCCACGGGCACCGCTGAGCGCGAATGCGGTGAGGAACTCCTCTCCAAGGCCGCGAGCTGCACCCGTCACGATGCAGGTCTTGCCTTCGAGGGAGAAGGCGGGGAGGGTCATCAGGGCTCGACGAGACGGCCTCGAGAGACGGATGGGCGGCCTGTGGGCTATGCTCCGGGGCGCTGCTAGAAGCATGAAATTTGACATTGCGAAGAACGCTTCGAGGTAGATCGTAGGAGTGATATGGAAGCATTAGGGCGACGGGTCTGTTATCGGTTGCTGTGTATTGGTGATGCAGTCGGCTGTGTCTTGCCCAGCGCAGGGCGGACGACTCTTCCGCATACTGGGGGAAAGAGGCAAAATCATCGTGAGATTGACGGAGGTCGATGTAGTGGCAGTATAAGTATGGTTTGTGTTATTGCTTCCAGCAGTCCAAGACTGTCGGATGAATTGTATTTGTAACGTAGTACAGTAAAGTGCGTATTGTAAGACCTCGGCAATACGAGACGGAACATCTGCGACATTGGTGGCACACACCGAACTGTATATTTTTGTTTTCTATTTGTCATTTTATCCTCATATTCTCGCACGGAGTGGAAGTTCAATGTTGAAAGGTGGTGGGGGTTTTGGATTTTGCACGGTGTTCAGTTCTAACTTCTGTAGTGCTAAAGAAAGTCAATCATCTCTGGCTCGCTTTGACTCGGCGAGATGTAAACAAACCATAGCTCAACGTTACCTGTTGTATGAACCTCGTATTGACTGATTTTTGACTTGAAAATAGACAGACAAGCTTCGGTTAGGTCGTGGCCTCAAGAAATCATTTACAATTTCCTGACGTAGAGGTTTCCCGAGGTAGAACTTTTGCTTAAGTGGGAGACTGAAAGTTGGCTACGGAGATGGCTGAGTTCAACGGTCCAGTATGAGCCCCCCCCTCAGCTCTTCAAAATCTACTTAGTCGGTGGGCCAGTTATGACTTCTCGGAAGGAACTTGAAGCAACCTTTTCCTCAGTCCGACGCACCTGCTTTCCAATTGAGATCCGAGCCTAAAGCTTAAAACAATAAAAATTAAATTTGATAGCTCCCACAAAAGCTACATCCAGGCTTCCCACAATCGTTCATTCTGTTATTCCGAGTCTGGTGTGTATCGTGTCTTCAATGACCAACCCATCCGCATTCCAAATATTTCACTGTTGCTCGTAAAATCGTTCTTAGACCACTCTCAACTACCAATTTACTCTCCTACCACGTCCATTACTACTGCTCCAACTTCGGATCTCGGAGAGGGCCGACGAAACTTCTTTTCTCGAAGAGACCGAGGTGAAACCATCTCATCGATTTTTACCGATCAGTCCAAATATAGGGTATACGTCATCGTCAAGGCACGATTTTCTGTACATTGCTTGGACAGCTCTCGCAGCAGAAGGACTCGCACGCAACCTCCAACAACATTTTGATATTTTCTTTTTTCCAGAAGTTCAGGCAACCTGGAATATCAATATGATATGTTTTTGCTGTGGCCAACTGGTTTTGGAAAGATAGTTGGTTGTCATACTGAGAAGGTTTTCCAGCCTTTGGACAGTCGTACACTTCAGGTTTATGGGGCCAAGGCTAGAGAGGAAACCCCATGAGCGAGTATCATCTGGATAGATGATTTGGGTGAGGAGAGAGAGAGAAACCACCCCAGTGGTTTTGGATACATGAACCAGGTGAAAGTGCAAGTGAAAATGTCCAGGTCTGTCATTCAAGCAATTCGATTCGATGAGAAGAAAGGGTGAGTCCAGAATTTCGCAGTGCGATTTATTTGGATTCGCACGTAAATATATTTGCCTTGATTCTTGATCGTGGAAACGTTCACCGACAAAGGTTGTTTGTTGAGGCCTTCTCGCTTGCGCTCCAGGCTCTCGGCTCGGGGTTTCAGGGGCTCGGCTGCTCATGTAGGTCAGAACAAGCTCACTGGCGCCAGAACAAGCTCAACTGCCAAGGTCTTACTCCGAGATTCGACTTTTGAGATCTACTGTCTACACGTCGGCTCTAACTCCTGAGTGAGAGGCTGGGAATGCGGCGGCGACGGTGACAACGGCGAGGTCGCCATGCAGGAACCTAGCCTGTATAACCCCCTGCGTAGATCGCATGTACATCCTCTCAGTCAATAATGAAACGACAAGCTTTGATTTGCGGAAGATATGTCGACAGATTTCCGCCATGTTTTTATCCACAACACCACACGTACGACCAACAAGAAGCCTTTTTCGTTGCTCTGTGCATGCGGGCTCTCCACGCTCTCGTCGCGGGGATCCGCGATGAACCATCTTGGCTTGCCCGAAAGCTTGGGGTTGGTGCTTAGCCATCCTCTCGGTCAACATGGGAAGCGACCCTGCAAACTTTATCGAATGTTGAGGCATGGGAAAAAATGAGGAGGATGTCTCTTTTGAATATATAAGGCAGGGTCGCTGCTCTTCTTGCCGCCCGCCCTTCATCTCTGCACCAGACTCGGGATCTTCTAGCGAGAGACCAAGGCTAATCTCCTCTTTCCTCGAAGCCGTCAATTCGCAACCGCCAACATGATGCACAAGACACGAGTATACAACTGGTATGCTGCATTGGTCGCAGCTGGATGCATGGTTCTCTATGGATACGATGCCGCTGTTTTCAACGCTGTTCAAGCGAACAAGCCCTGGCTTGCATACTTCAATTTCGACACCGAGAGCCCTGTGAGCCATATTATCGGAAACTTGGTGAGATCTAACTGACCCGGTTTGTAGGATACAAATTTGCTTGGCTTGATCAACACTTCTTATTCGATAGGTGCCATTGTGGCCGGATGGTTTCTGGGTGGTCCTTTTGTAAGTCATTCTCATGCTTGCTGCTATCCGATTCTCTCAATCTTCGAACACTCTCTGCCCAAACAGGATCTAACAATCGACTCAGGCAGACTGGCTTGGGAGAAGAGCGGGAACGGGTATTGGTTGCTTTATCACTGTGATCGCGACTATCATCCAGACCTTCGCTCCACGCCACCAGCTCGGTGTGTTCATATTCGGCCGAGTCTTGATTGGTGTGGGACAAGGAATGGCCCTGAGTAAGTCTGACATTCTGAACTGAAATATTGACCGTAGTGACTGAATTAAACAGCTGCCGGGCCCGTATACATCGGCGAGATCACGCCTTCAGAGATCCGTGGAAAAGTCATGTCTTTCTGGCAACTTTTCTTTTCGGTCGGCTCTTTCATTGCTTACTGGGTCAACTACGCATGTGGTAAGAGTAAAATGTCTCTTGGTGAGTGGAGCTGGAAGATGGTCGTAAGTACAATTTCCTGACTATTAACTCCTTATTTTGGGCTGTATCAGCAATTTGCTCGAATCCGTGTCCCAAAAAGTCTTTACTTGATTTTGAAACATACAAAAGAAGTCATGCTTACGGAAAAAATCGCATAAGGTCATCTTCCAAATGCTCGTGCCAATTCTCATCATCTGCCAACTACCGTTCATGCCCGAGAGCCCCAGGTTAGTAGAATAATTACCCGAAAGCTCTAGCGTATTCGTTGCAACAAAGCTAACAAATTCCAATTGATAGATGGTATATCCAACATGGCGACCGTATCGAAGATGCTCGTTGTTCTCTTACTCGACTCAGAGGTAGCGAACAAGAAGTCGAGGATGAGATTCTGGCTATCCGAGAGGCTATTGCATTCGAGAAGGAAGTCATTTCTGGTTCGTACCTGGCATTGTGGAAGGACGTATCGTTACGGAAGCGTCTCATTCTGGCCTTCATCATCAACATCGGACAGCAGCTTTCGGGACAAGGTACTCTCAACTCATACTCGTCAACCATCTACAAGAAGGTCTGGATATCTCTTGACAAAATCAACCTCATCAACGCCATGAACGCCTCGATGGGTATAATCTTCACCCTCAACGCAACATGGACGGTCGATAGGTTTGGAAGAAAGTTCTTGTTCATTGTGGGAGCTATGGGCATGGCCACGTGCATGCTTATCGTTCCACTCATTGGATCCCAGACACCAAACACACCTGAAGGAGGGAAGACAGAACCAGTCGGCATTGCCATCGTCGCCATGCTGTTCTTGTTTATCTTCTTCTACAAGCCTTCATGGGGAGCCACCACCTGGATTTGGACTTCTGAGATCTTCTCCATGAACGTCCGGTCCCAGGCCGTTGGAATGTAAGCCGTCCTAGATCCGATTGTTGCCATGCCAAAGCTAATATCAACACAGGTGCTCGCAAATGCAGAACGTCGCGCAGGCAATCTTCAACCAGTTCTTCCCTACCTTCTACAAGAACTGCGGACTGAAGTCCTTCTACTTCTTCATGACCACCAACATCTGCCTCGCAATTTTTGTCTGGTTCTGCATTCCCGAGACCAAAGGAACGCCACTGGAGGAGATCGATATCCTCTTCGGCGGAGCAAACCACACCGAGAAGGGAGCTGATCTGCTAAATGTAGCGGACCCCCATCACGCTCATATCGGTGTCGACAACAAGCATGAAAATACCATCGAAGAGATTTCCCACACGGCTCAGCCCGCGTCCAAGGAACTCAAGATGTAAACAAAGGGGTTTCCAAGTCTGATTAGCTGCGAGCAGGTCTGCGCGGGTGAGTTCATTTTCGAGTATATAATGGAAGGGAAACTGATTCAAGACAACTGAGGTCCTCTCGCAGGAATAGATTCCGTGGTCTTGGTTCAATCGCGAGTGAGCATTTCCGCGACTTCTTCCAAGAGATCCCTAAGCCTCAAGCGAAGCTCTAAAATGAATACTTTGTCTGGCCCTGTGAAAACTTTTCTTCTGCCATGACCCGATCATATTCCCGAAACAAGAATGTTACTTTGGGCCACGACGCCGGCGTGGTGACCCCTCCACTGCACTCCTCCATCGGCCTCTTAAAGTATAAACTCTGCAAATGAATCAGTCACCTGCTTGCATCTGTACGGCCCCAGATCAGACAGATCCCATTCGTCTGTTTTTGAAATATCTACTGAATATGATCCAAAATATTCTACCTGACTTGCTCATCGCTTAGCCTTGGGGCTTCTTCGCCGACTTGAGATCAGCCGTTAGAGCCCTCCCCCTCGTAGGACACCAAAAGCAAGGGTTGAGAATAAGCTTTAGGGCCAATCCCCTATGTGGGAGAAAAGCTTTCGCTGTCTACGTATGCCAAATATTATAAGTATATAAGCTTGAGTCCGCAGTCTATCTTCCCTGCAGTTGCAGTTACACCCCCCCCACCCCTGAAGCAATTCTTCCACTGATTCCTACGGAGTAAATGGCTCGGCAATCGGAATTCCGCGGGGGTCATTCTTTCTTCGAATTTGAATTGGATTTGGGGGGTTTTTTTTTCTCTTCTTCTCGGCGGCGGGGGTCCATCGATGCTTTTTCTTTCAATCAGGCAACTTTCCTGATCGGTCGCTTTTGCTTCGGTAGTATTTTTCTTTGTATTTTTCTCTCCTGGCTACCATTCATCACATTAGCAAAGCTCGCTTAAGTAGTTCTAGGAGCTCTCTTGTTTACTTTTGATAGCTTCTAAGCTGCGAGATGTACTTCCGATCCTACGATCGTCTTCTCTAGTCTCAAGTATAGCTAGCTCCTTAGTCGTGTTGATATTTTTTTGTAACTCGAGATATTTTGTAACATTTACGCAAGTTGAAGTTGGGGGCTCATGATTTCCGAGTGAGAAAATAAGTTTAGATTTGTCTCGACCCTCAACGACAGTGGGCATTTTCTTCGCTCGGCAATGGATATTCGATGGGAGCTTGGGAATGTCAGGAATATGAGCTAAAACTTCCGTCATTACGAGTAATATAAAAGCGTTATACCTGAGAAATTGCTCTCCATGTTCACTAGCTCTGTCACTTTATTTTACCAATAGCAGTACCTTCCGGTCTGGGAAGCCCTTCGAACTACTTGTAACTTATACCTTCCTGCCTTCCCGACTCTCACAGATATATACACGAAACCAAAAACGGACCAAGACTACTGCAAGTTTTTTAACGACGTCCATCAAGTGTAACTACACCTTCTCCTCTCTCTCGGAGTCGTCTTCACAGTCGGCCTCTGCGCCGTCGCCAACACCACCCCAGCCAGTCTCACCTGCCTCCCCTCACAAGAAACAACAACATGTCAACTCAACTACCATACTAATAGCAGAGGCATAGTCAACATCGCAGATGGCGCCACTAAAGCCACCGCCTGGGTCCACTCCAACACCTGCCTGAATATTGGCAATGGCCAGAAGACCATCCCCGTCCCCAACCACCGCGAGAGCATGTACGTTGAACTGGGATCTTTCCTTCCAGCGACGACTCATTTTGGGCTCCGAGCAGCGAGCCGGAATAACTTTCGCAGCTCCTTGGTTCCAGTACGATGGCGCAAAATATGCGTACGAGCGAGCAGTGTAGCTGCAGCCGTGGGGCGAAGAGTGGTGGCACAAGTGTGCTTGCCCTTTCAGACGCAAGATCTGGGTCCTGAATTAGGAGTAGAGGGCCTCTCTCGGAGAATAACAGGGTGAGGGTGCCCGTGGAGATCGAGTCGGAGCTTCTAGGGGTCATGATCTGGTGTGATTAGGGGACATGCGAAATGTTTTGAAACCATATATGCGGGATATATGGTTGGCAGAGGGAAAGAAATGGTCATCTGCTCCTGAATGAAGGGCTCATTCTTGATACGTAGGAATGATGCTCTCTCCATCAACTTTCATTGTTTGCTATGTGCTGGGAGAGTGAGTGAGACTTTTACATGACTGGTAGTATTTCGTAACTCTACGGTTAAATAGCCCAGCTCGCTTTCATGGGAATACCTGTTTGCACTGCGGCATGTAGTTCGTATATTCGTGTTTTGATTACGGCTCGAGTTCGCTTCTTTGGCGGGGTGATCGAGGGGTACGAGAACCGAGCTCGGTTTGAGATATGAAGTATCCAGGCATTAAGTTTTATTATCCTGTTAGGGTAATATTTCATCTAGTACCTGAAGTACCTGAGGCCAGTCAAAATCAATCTGCTTTTCTTTCATCTGTTATTCTTGGAGTCCTGTAGAAGGTTCTATTACTACACACGCTTGGCAGATTCTCGGAAAAACCTTCACCCGAAGCAACCAGATGTCCGTCTTGACCCTTTTGAGCTGACGTCGCAATCCCATTCATTCAGTCTCAGCTTCACAACTCAACTACTAATACTCAAAATGTCTTCAAGTGTTAGCATCGGATCTTCCGCAGAGTTCAGCAAGTTATTGAGCTCCTCGACAGTTGTAGTGGCAGACTGTAAGCTCATATCCCCGCCCCTCCATTCAAACTATTCTAATAGCGCCCCTCAGTCTACGCAGACTGGTGTGGACCATGCAAAGCTATTGCTCCTACCTACGAGTCCCTGGCAGCGAAGCATTCGAAGCCGAACCGTGTCACTTTCACCAAAGTCAATGTCGACAATCAGCCGGAGATTGCGCAGAAATACGGTGTTAGAGCGCAAGTCCCCTCTCCCTCGCCCCCAAGGCCCCAGCTAACAGACACCAGCATGCCGACCTTCATGATTTTCAAATCCGGCCAAGTAATCAACACGATTCGTGGTGCCGATAAAAATAGCCTTACGACTGCCGTCGAAGCGGCTGTCAAGCTCGCCGGAGCTGCGGCTCCAGCCTACTCCTCCGTTGGACGAACCCTCGGTGGAGCTTCATCGCATCGGGCATCAATGGCGCGACCGTTTAATTTCAAGAGCATCATCGATACGATTATTGGGTTCCTCGGGCTTTACTTCACAAGCTTGTTCTCTTTTGATGCATATGCGGCGGCGGAGAGCAGCCCGTTCAATATCCACAGGGTGACACAACCATCAGTTACGACAGCTACTGGGAGGAAGGTTGAGAAGAGGACAGGGGCTACGACACAAGCTGGGAAGAAGCTAGGGACGATCTCGGATTTTGCGAACAGGGACTAGGAGTGATCTGGTTGTACTGAGGAGTTTGGGCGTAAAGGGCATCGCAGTGCGGCCTTGTGGATATTTGCGAGCTCAATTATACGGACAATTTCTGGTTCTCATTGCTGGTCCAACAGCGTCAAGATCTAGCCCCTCTTTCCCTGGTGAGTATGCATGTACCAATATAGTAAAAGGCTTGATTATCACAACATCGCATGCCAGAGGCACTTTGAGTCATATTGACCAGTTCTCTATTCTGGTTCAATCTCAGTAGCCGACCATCAGATTCAGAGTCATGCTCTTCTTTTGCACTGCTGCAATTACTGCACCGTGATGAGCACAATCTCTAGAGAAAATAACTCGCAAAGAGAAGCTGCAGGAAATGCAGAAGTATGGGCTTCTGTCCTCCAGTAAGATGTCGTTTTCGTTTCTCGGTCGGGGTAAATGCTTCTACTCATGCAGAAGAGATATACTTTGCAAGCTCCATAGGTTGTTAGATGTCTAGGCAAGGGCCACCAGCGATGGAGCTCGCAGCGGCAAGCAGAAAGTGGCAAGCGGGTTTTCCATCGAGGAAGTCGGTCTGCTGGTACAGTAGCAGGATCTCATTTTCATAGCCAGAGCGTGGTGATGTCCTAAGACCGACCCTGAAGCGTTTTAAGGAACTGTGCATGATGCAACTGCTGCTCGCTTCGTCGAAGTGGTTCAACAACGAGCGGAGCTCACTCAAGCAGGCTGACATCCGAGACCTACTCAGTTGATCCTGGTGGAGCTGCGGATGGGGGACTTGATCCGCTCGACTAAACACTCGGACTATGCCAGGTGACTCATTGGGTATTGTGAAGGTGGTGGGTTTCTTTGAGGGGTGGCTGGCCCTCCAAACGCTAGACGAATAGGAGCGAGGAGAGCCATTAGAAACTGGGGAACTGGGAGACTGACGGTCGAGAAGACCAAAACTGGCAGAAGATCCGTTGCTATGACTCGAATAGCTCCGGGGGGTGGTGGACTTCCCGGCACAAGCGCCTACAGTAGTAGTCGGAGTATGACTTGGACATCGTGTACGAGGCATTCTTCTGTGTACACCTCTGGGGAACACCCTATATTTCTAGGATAACGGTGAATTCCACGGGAGAAATTGCTTGAGCCTTGTTAATTTCCATCCCAATTAGTGTGATATTAAAATCTATAGTTACGAGAGCAATACCCATAACGTTCCTCGGCTCATACAGGTTGTCAATACTCTCAATCTCCTCCTTGGACAGCTCGAAGTTGACAGCAAGCTCAAGAAGTCTAGACATTAGATAGGATCAAAAGCGGGGAATTTGGATCTGATTTCGCGGTGGTACTTGGTAGAAATCAAAATCCTCGAGTAACATCGTGGTGCCAATCACGGGGATTTGAGATCATGCATCTAGACTCCGTATGCAGATTGATCTACGCAGATATATATGTAGCTGACGCAATAAGGCAGCAATGAAATGCACAGATTGGCACAGCAACCCGAACTATATAAGCTGAATGGAAGCAAGCGGCTTATATATCCTGCTTGTGTATCATTATCATGTCCCGAGTGGGGACCTCTCCGACGGGCGCTTGCGCGAGAGCCAGTGAGTGCTCACTGGCGAATCGATCAGCTCAGCTCAGCCTCAGAGCCGTAGAAGCTGGTGCTGTTTGCTGTTTGCCATGCAGCTGGGATAGAATCGCGCATCCTCGCGAAGTGGCGCCTGGACCTGAATGAATGAATGATGAAGAAACAAACACTACGCTGCTGGAAAAGACCGCACATGCATCTCTGGCCGTAGAGTAGGTCCCAATAGCCGTACAAAAAGTTGAGTCCCGAGTTACAACGACTACTACAGATACCACGGTACAGGCGTAATTGTTACACCCTTGAGGGTCGGGTAACCAGGGGGTTTATAGTGGAAACTAAACTTTTGAGGCATCCTCAAGGGGTAACAATTACGCCTGTACCGTGGTACTACGTACTACGTCGCAGGCGTAAGTATTACCCCTCGAGGGTACGGAAAACAGGGGTTTTAAAGTGGAAACTAAACTTTTAAGGCACCCTCGAGGGGTAATACTTAGGCCTGTACCGTGGTAGATGCCGTGGTGCGTCTCCGTAGTGTCGTACTCGGATATACTTGCCTTTTTTCGGACAATGATATTGTTGAGCTGAATGATCAGGGCCTATAGGTACTCTGTACGTGTTGCGCAGCTGCCAAGCGGTAATCCAACCGGAATGGTCGGCACGCTTGCTTGCTTTAAACTCGTAAAGTAGAAAGGCGTGCTGTTGATCCCCCGAAAGTAAATAAACTGCTGCCGTTAGTAGTATACTACATGCGACTGCGGTTGATACGCATACGGTACCGGTATGTTTAAAGTAATGTTTAGATATTCGGATCTGTCCGGGCTTCAACGGCTCGGGACTTTTAAAGTTAAGGTTTGTCTAGACCTGCGGGAAGAGATAGCCGAGAATCAGGGGTCAGTAAACAAAGCCTAGATCCTGATTGGCCGGAATCGAAAGCTGAATTCGAATTCAATGCCAAGACATCGCCTTTTCAGATTTATTTTATTCGCTATACATGAAGTGAAGTGAAATTCAGTGAATGAATAAACGACTAGGCTGATGCCGGACTATCTTATAGCTATCGATTCTCAAAGACCATCTCGAACTTCACAACTAAACAACATAAAGCAACTATGGCTCGTCGCTGCCCGCCAACCCGAAGGACACTAAGAATCCTTGCATTCCTCACACTTCTTCTGCTCTTCTCACTACATTCCTTTGAACTTTTGCCCTCCCCGACGCGCCGGTATGATACCCGGCCGTGGATCCCATGTCCGGCTGGCTCGTCATCCTTTCACGCATCCTGCAACGTCCCTCGGACGGCAGTTGCCCCTTCCGTCCAGGTGATCGTCAAGACCGGTGGTTCGGAGCCGCTCGAACGACTTCGCGCTCAGCTCGCCACTCTACTCTCTGAAGTCCCGTCCGAGAACCTCCTCATCTTCTCCGACCTGGAAGGGGATGTCGATGGGTACCGCGTCCATGATATATACGCGAACATCTCCCAGCTGGAACGCAGCCACTACCCTGAATTCAAGCTGTACGACGAACAGCTCGCGTACAAGACCCAAGGGAGAGATACCCGCGAGCTGGACGGCGGGTGGCGCTTGGACAAGTACAAGAACCTGCCGATCAAGCGGAGGATATGGCAGATGCAGCAGCAGCAGCAAGCGCGCACCCACCACCACCCGCTGATGAAATGGTTCGTCTTCATCGACACGGACACCTTCGTCGAGTGGGACAACCTGTTCGGCCTCCTGGAGACGATGGACCCGTCCGAAGAGCTGTACCTGGGCAGTCCCGTCTGGATCCAGCAAACGGTGCCGCCGCGTCTCCGGTACGAGTTTGCGCACGGCGGAAGCGCCTACGTCCTCTCCTACGGCGCGCTGCGAACGCTCAATACGGTCGAGCCGTCGTCGTCGTCGGATCTGTCGCCTGGGTGGCTGGATCCGTCGAGTCCGATGTACAGTCAGTTCGGGCTGGACATGAGCGGTATCTGCTGCGGTGACGATGCCGTCGCGAGGGCGCTGCGGGATCGAGGCGTCCGGATGAAGGGGTACTGGCCGCTCTTCAATGGCGAGATACCCGCGACGATAGCCTACGGGAAGGACCTGTGGTGTGAACCGGTGATCTCCCTGCACCACATCGGCGAGCAGAATCTCTCTTCGTTGTGGCACTGGGTTGCGGAGTGGAAGCGCCGGACCAGGAATCAGGTACGGTTCCCAATTCTACAACTCCAATCTCTTTCCCATTTTTTCTTTCCAGCTCCCCCTTCCCCCTTCCCTCCCCCCCCTAAGCTCTTTCTAACCAGCTCATTCACACAGCAGCCCCTCCTCTTCAGCGACCTCTTCGACTACATCGCAGCCGACTTCTCCTCCTCTTCCCCCTCCTCCCGCCGCCGTGACAACTGGCACAACATGATCGATACCCCAGACCGCACCCACCACCACCACGCCGGATCCTCCTTCTCGGCCTGCCGCGCCGCCTGCGACGCCGACCGGCGCTGCTTCCAGTTCCTCTCCCACGGCACGAGATGCGACATCTCGTACTCCATCCGCCTCGGCCAAGCGCGTCCTCCGGCAGACCACAATGCCTCGGGTGACGAGGAGCGGTACATTTCCGGCTGGAATACGGACCGGATCAGAGAATGTAAGTGGAAGAAAAAATTCGTAAATTAAAAATTAGGAGTTCGCGTTTGGGTTGATTCTCATCAGTCAAAGCATACCTTTTCTTCTCTCTTCCCTTTATATATATATATCTTCCTGCCTTTCTCTTACTCTTTCTACTTCCCGACCTGGTGAGTACAGGATGGCTAATTTTTCCTCTGGCTATTTAGGGACGGCTAGAAATCACTGTCGCGCAGCGCACTGGGTACATTCCAATCCCTAGTTTTTTAATTTCCGGATGTCATGATATGACGATCAATTCATGGGGCGAGCGAGCTTTCGAGGACATATGGAAATGGGTTTCGGATTTTTTTTCTTCTTGTGGATAACGAACTAGAAAGGAAGGAACGAACGAACGAAGGGAACGAGGTGCAATTAAGGAAAGAAGGGAAAGAAAAAAGGCACTTTTGTTTGTTAGATGTACGTTTTGTGTTCAGATGATACCCCCCATAGCGATACCAATCCCAATTCCGATTTGAGACCTTTCGATGGTCTTTTTGTAGTATAAGAAATAGCAAGCTCGTACGTTATTCATTTTTCTGAAAAGTCGGTTAATGCAAGATAAAATGATTAAATGATTTTTGGTTCGTTAGTAAATAAATAAATGAGACACGAGGGCCAAAGTGAGGGAGGTGATGATAGGATGAGATGAATAAATTAGTCAAGGGCGATTGATTAGTGATTTGGTTGGTTGGTTGGTTGGTTGGTTCATCGGATCGACGATGATATTTACCACGGTACAGGCCTAAGTATTACCCCCTCGAGGGTGCCTCAAAAGTTGAGTTTCCACTTTCAACCCCCTGGTTTCCCTATCCTCGAGGGGTAATACTTGCGCCTGGGACGTAGTACTTATGCAAGGACTCAAAGCAAGTGAATAAGCAGGTAAGTACCTTAACTTAGAGCTTGTATGGCTCGCAGATGCAAGCCAAGTTGCACCACCAAAATACTACGTCCCAGGCGTAAGTATTACCCCTCGAGGGTAGGGTAACCAGGGGGTTTAAAGTGGAAACTCAACTTCTGAGGCATCGAGGGGTAATATTTAGTCCTGTACCATGGTATTCTTGCATCTCCAAGTTGCGCGTCAAGATGCACGAATCAAGCAATCTGTCTGGCTCGTGCACGTAAATCTCGTAAAGTGTGCATCTGACCTTGCCACTCGTACTTGCACCATACAAGCCGAAGTTGCAGCAAAAAGCTCGAACTTCCAAGCTGCAAGCTCGAGTTGCAAGCTTTTCACCCCCCTTGCCCTCCCTTTTCCTTTCCGCTTACTTTGACCACCTTTTTATCCTTCTGCATATTTTGCAAAGGCGTAATCTGCGCAATCGCAATATCGATATTCTTATCGCTGCGATAAAAGCATGCGCCGCTGTTTGATGTTACAAAAAAAAAAACATTTCGCATAAACACTTTCGCATAGCTTAAAGATAGCAAGTCTTTAATAGATAAAAAAAGCTCTATATTTTATACTCAGATCATAGAGCTATTCCTTTAACTGACTCTCTATAACGCTTTCCTTTACTCTTCTATACCTCTCTCTTCGAAGATCAAAGACTATCATGGCGTATACTTTTTCTGCGTTGTTAATCTGGAGTTCATCACGAAAATAAAAATCAGTAGTTGTAATAACAGATTAATTTTATTTCTCAAGTCTCAAGTTGCAAGTTGCTATTTAACTTGCGAGTTGCGAGCCATACAGGCCTTAGAACGTGCAACTTCCTTTACCAAGTTAAGTTGATCCTGTTTTAAGATCAAGTCAACTACCTTAAAGGCAGGTAGGGGGTTATTTAAACCGTCAGCTGACAATCCGATGACGGTCTCTCTGAAAAACGATTCTAAGAGGTTGGCATCGCTAGTGGATCACCCTAGGCCGATACTTGACATTAAACAGAATCTGAAAACAAACGATTTAAATTATTCAAATCGTAGCTAGAATAGGATTATTTCAATCGATTAAATCGTTTTTTTAGAAGAGCTCGTCTTTTCGTTACAAGATTATTACTAAGATAAGATTGTTTTGATCGATGAAATCGTCGTTTAGAAAAGTCGGTCTTTTTACGAAGAGACCGTTTTGAGACCGTCTTGTGGCCGTCTTGTGGCCGTCTTGTGGCCGTCTTAAGGCCGTCCCCGAACTTGAAACCGTCCCCGAAAACGTAAATTAATAAGCAAATAAATTATTTTTTTAGCAATTACTTAGCAAGCTACCCTTCTTAGGTATATCATCCCCTTCTTACACCAACCCCTCTGGAAGCGGAGGGGCGCCTTCGCGCGGGGAAACTTTTACTAAATCGATCGATTCCGATTATTAAAAATTTAAAGCGTTGATATAGAAGCCGTAGCAGCGATACCGAGAAATATCTTGGCGTCGAACTTATTAAATTATAATTAAAACGATTTTATTTCAAAAAACGATTTTTCTTTATTATTATATTTTCTTTAGAATAGTTATCGAACTATTTCAATCTTTTAAAACGAGCTTATTAATAAGCCTGCTTTAAAAAAAAAATTGGACGGGGACGGCCATAGGACGGCTATCAGACGGTCCTAAGCTCGGGGACGATCAAAAAGGTCAATTATTCTTGATTAATAATTAGTACTGATTTTAAATAGTTTAATAACCGTCTTGTATAAAAGAGGGTCAGAAGACCGCTCAAATGACCCCCTACCTGCCTTTAAGGTAACAACTGCCTGGTTGCACGGACGTGCAATTGCGAGCCATACGCAGCCTTAGTAATAAGTCGACAAGAGAAGTTGATTACTAATAAGTCACTTCGCCTCACTGAATTTGAATTGATTTAATTGGAATTCAAACCTGACTATGATTTGAAATAGCGGTAATCAGAATTACAACCCGAAAAGGGAACGGAGATGAGTGCGGTAATCGTACCGTTCGTCGGACGGAGTACAAGTCAGAAAGAGAGACAAAGGGGTTTGACTGCGGTCCCTACCTAGGTACGTAAAAGTACCCTTTCCTCAGCTCCTCAGCGAAGCGATGCGGTCGGGTTTTTTTTTTTCCAGCGAGCGATACGGACCAGGTCGGTCAAACAACTCTTTCAGCCTCCCTTCTCCACCTGCAAGATACCGGTAGATAGATATAAACCTCTCACCTAATTTTCCCCCATTTAAAAACCAAACAGTCGGATATCAAGCATGATATTATTCTGCTCCATCAGACCTACCTCATCGTCGGTCCCCTTGAATTTAATTCGAAAGAATTCACCGACCTGCTGTACTGTAGCAAGTCGGAACCACCCAGGCCGGCCAGCCAAATTTGCCCTCCCCTCTTGTAATGAATAGAAAAGCAACCAACTACCGGTACCATACCATAGCTATTTCCGTGCAAAAAGATGCACCGCATCAAGTCTGATCGACCTAAATCATCTGACCAAGTTTTAATTCCAACTTCTTATTTCTTTCTCGTATTACTATAGGTTCAAGTCGTAAAAACGGTACCTTTAGTATACTCTCCTCACACCCTTCGATCTGACTGGTCCGTTTTATAAACTTAGAAGAGCGTACCGGTACTACATGTCGAAATTGCCGTGGAAATACTAAACTAAAATAAAATAAGCGAGGGATACGAAAATCAGAGTTTTTACTGAGACCTATGAAAAGAATACTTGTATCGTTATCCAAATCTTATTTATTAGTTAATTAAATTCTTAAAGTATCATGGATTAGAACGGTTATTCTCGCTTGACAGAACGTGTTTTTTTCTTTTTTTAATTGGGGTTGTGGGATATCAAGATGTTCAAAGCAGACACAGGAAAAAATGGATTATTTGACCGTGTTTTCACGACGTGTTGATATATCAGGTCACCACAAATGAACGCATCTTCATGTTTTTAATATACGTTTATACAGGTACAGCTTTCTACGCATATGATCTTCTTTTGGTTCATATTAGTAAGTGATGTTTGATAAGCAGTCTACCATTACCGTCCCGCCTTAGTAGTGCCGACTAGCTATAGCAGGTCGGACAACTCTTTCGAATTAAAACTCGAGTGTCACCGACGATCTATCAGACAGATCTACTACATACGTAGTACCTCGAGCAAAAAAAAAAAAAGAGTTAAAGGTTAGAATCAATTCGCAAGTTTTTAAAAACGTTAATCAATCAATCATATTTATAATCATAATTCTATTTCTATTTCTATTTCTATTTCTATTTCTATTTCTATTTATACTTATACCCACACCCATACCCACATCCGCATTTCATCTCATCTCATCTCAACCCCCACCCCCTCCCCCCACCCCCTCCTCCTCCCCCTCGTCAGCCGCAGCGACAGCAGCAGCGCCCTCCCAAACAAACACCTACCTAGAAGTACGGTACCCAACCCTCTTCCCCATCCCCGAACCAAGGTAACCAACCAACCAACCAACCAACCAACCACCCACCCAACGAACCACCCACCCACCTAATCATAAGATCAACCACAAAAATAACCCTGATACGCACCTACGGTACAGCACTAAGCGATGAACCTAACCCTAACCCTAAACCTAAACCTAATCCATACAGTACGATACAGTACCGGTAGAGACAAGCTTACTCGGACCCGTAATCGCTGCGTATTTCGAGCTTTGAGCTTCGAGCTTTGGTTTTTATATGCACGTATGTACGTGCAGTAGTATGTAGTATGTAGTATGTAGCATGTAGTACTGCGGACAAAGAAAAAAAAAAGGTGAAGGTGAAGGTTGAAGGTTGGAGTCAATTCGTGAGGGTTTGGAGACGGTGATCGGTTAATCATATCTATATACCTACCTATCTATATCTATACCCACATCCGCAGTTCCTCTCAACTCAACCCAACAACCAACCCCTCCTTCTCCTCGTCGTCAGCCGCGGCGCCCTCTCAAATAAACACCTACCTACTTCGTACCTACTTCTTCTAAGTACGGTACCTCACCCTCTCACCCTCTCATCTGCTCATCTTCTCATTCCAGCACTAACCAACCCAACCCAACCTAAACCAAACCAACCCAACCTAAACCAAACCAAACCCAATTCAAACTTTCCACAACCAACCAAAATAACCAAAATAGCCCTCACACAAACCACAAACCACAAACCATAAACCACAAGAAAGAGCCAACCCCTACCTACCTACCTTAATCGTACCCGTAATCGCTCCGTACTCCGTACCTCGCGCCTCGATTTTCACACCTATTTACCCCCACCCACCAATCTATCTATTCATTCATCTATCTACCAATCTATCTACCAATCTATTTACAACAACCACCCCAAACGAGGTAAGTAGGTAAGGTAGGTACCTTGATCCAGCTTTTGGGATCGAGATTAGCGAGACTAGCGAGACTAGCGAGAGGGGAGAGCTATTTGTGGTGTGTGGTGTGTGTGTTTTTTTTTGCTTGCTGTGCTGTGCTGTTTAGGCTGTGCGTTTATGTGTTTGTTTGTTCGGTTTGGGTTAAGTGGTTGGTTGGTTGGTTGGAGGTTGGTTGGTGGGTTGGTTGGTGCAAGCGAGGGAGGGAGGGAGTGAGGGAGTGGGTGAGTGAGTGAATGAGTTGTGTGGTATGGGGGGAGAGGGAGAGGGAGAGAGGGAGAGGGAGAGAGGAAAGCATGTTTGTTGGTTGAGAGGGGAAGTGAGGGAGAGAGAGGGAGAGGGAGGGAGAGATAGGTAAGTAAGTAGTTAGGGGTAGGTAGGGGTAGGTAGGTAGGTAGGTAGATAGAGAGATAGATAAGAGAGATAGATAGAGAGATAGAAGATTAGATAGATAGATAGAAGATTAGATGGATAGAGAGATAGAGATAGAGATAGAGATAGAGAGACAGCAAGCGAAAATACTATTCAATTCAATACATCCAACAACCTCTTTCTATTCCATCCATCTATCTATCCACCCATCTATTCTATTCTAACTAAATCCCCCCCCTCCTTCAAAAGGTATCAATGCTTTCCACCCTCCCCCAACAGAAAGACGCGGCGAAGAACAACAACAACCAACCAACTACTCCTCCGGACAGGCAGGCCAGCCGGCAGGGATAGCTCTCATAAGCTAGCTTACCAACCACCATGCCTCTTCTCTTCTCCCCTCTCTTCCTTCCGCTTCGCTCCCTCTTCAAAAATGAAGTGAAATTGAATGAAACACCCGAGATCTCACGCGCTGTGGACGCGGTCCATTCATCCATCCAAAGAAGGATAGAAGGAAGGAGCACCAAGACTCAAGTTCAAGTCCAAGAACCCGCGAGATCTCCACCCGCCACTAGAGAGACAAAAGAAAAGGACTCGCCCACTGCGATCACCACGCTTCTTTTGAAGGACAGACACCACCACAACCACCAGCATAGCCCCGAAAAAACCCCCCTGCGAGCATCAACAAAGAGAAAGAGAAGTAGTAGAAGAGAGAAACGGCCAAAAAGGCCGCCCTACTCTCAGGAGAAAGGCCCGCGCACGTAGGTAGAAGAGGAGGAAGAGGGAAAGGAAAAGGAAGAAAAAAGACGTGCGCGGTGTACGGGGTATAGGTGAAGCGAAAAATTCGAGTTGACTAGTCCAATTAACTGTCTCTTTCCGAAGGTAGATTTCCGAAGGTAGATTTTTGAAGGTAGGTTTTTGAAGGTAGGTTTCCAAAGGTAGATTTCCAAAGGTAGATTTCCAAAGGTAGATTTCCAAAGGTAGATTTCCAAAGGTAGATTTCCAAAGGTAAACTTCCAAAGGTAGATTTCCAAAGGTAAGATAGATAGGTATATTTGCGTTCTCTGCCCCAGTACAAGCAAGTCGTCATGTAAGGTGGGTGGAAGTGAGGTGAGAAAGTATGATGCGACATGCGAGGTGGGGATGATGGATGACGCGTGTGTGTGAATGTATAGTATCGGGTATATATATAGTCGTTCAGGCCGTGAAAATGTCCATTGCGTGGGGGGCTGAGAAACCACAAAAAAAAAAAAAAGAGTGGTGGGTTGGTTGCGTCGGAAGGGGGCGCGCGCGGGGAATGCGGATGTTTTGCCGCATCGTCGCCGAGTCGGTTAATTGTCAACAGATCCCCACCCGCTCGGCGCGATCCCTTCTACAACATCATGGCGACAGCGCACGCCATCAGACCAGCTCCACCCGCCCACATCCCGCTCAGGCTGCTCGCGGCGCCGACAAAGTTGGGCGGCAGGGGAGTCGCCGGGCTGCCGGTGTACCCGGTTGGTGTTGCTCCTCCCGTCGCAATGTTGACATAGACATTCGAGGCGGTCGTGCTCGAAATGGCGGAGGAGACGATGGTGCTCGACGGTCTCGTGGAGACGGTCGTGCTGGCCACGTCCGGGGAGGTGTTACTCGAGGCCGGACGGGTTAAGTAGACGGAGGCGACGACTTCGGAGACGGTGATGGTCTTAGTGAAGCGCGCGGTGGAAACGATGGTCGCCGTCGGGGGGGCAGCCGGGTAAGTGTCGGCGGCGGCGAGCAGTGGCGCGAGTGCCGCGGCGAGGAGCGTGAGGCGCATCGGGACGGTTGTCTCGGATGTCCGTGAAGATGGGGTGCTGGGTGACAGTGCGATTGCGACGCGCTTGAAAATGGAGGATGGTAGATCGACCTTCGAGAGGAACAAACGAGAGGAGGTGGGAGAGACGGTAGAGACTCGGATATAATGAGATTTGGGAAATACGATGGTCTGGATGAGACGATGGCACGGAGCGCGCGTGTTTGAAGAGATTGTGCTTTGATCGTGTTGCTGTGGTTTGCGACAGGATGAATGCGACGGAGCGAGTGTGGTGAATGGAAGCCGTGATATCTTTGCAGTCGGTTGGTAGTCGCGTAGTGATGATGATGATGATGATGATGAAGATGATGATGAAGATGAACCAAAAATTCCCAAAGAAAAGAGACTCTGCCAACGAAGCCTGAATCCGCGATGGATATGTGTGTGTGGATGTGGATGTGTGGTGGTGGTGGTGGTGTTGAAGAAGGAAAGGGACGCAGGTCGAGAGAAGTACGAGAGCGATGGGGGATGATTGCGGCAGGGGAGTCGAGCTTATTTGGAGGGGCGGGCCAGGTGACGAAGCAACGGGACGACCAGGATGATCTATTTTCATGGATATACTTTGGTTTATTGTTGATTGTCTACCCAGCGTGCGTATGATTTACAGTGCAGATAATTGGCATCTCTTACTGTACTAGTACCGTTACTATACTGGTACAGTGGCATGATTGATCGATATTCTGGGATTCTTGATGATTGACCGACCGACTGGACACTTTCAGAGTTCAGCAGGTGTCCCTCTCGTCCTCCCCTCAGTGCCCTCCGTGCCCCCCATGCCCCCCGTGCCCCCACCCCAATGCCCCCAATACCCCCAAATGCCCCCAATGCCCTCCCACCGCCCCCCACCCGCCAACGCCCGTCACACCGCAATCTTAAATTTAGATTACAAAATTTCCCACTCCAAAAGCCGATAAGCTCGTCCATCCCTGTGGCCGCACCCGGGGCCCGCGTGTCTCATGGGCCCGTCGAGTGCCCGTGGAGTGCGCGGGTCCTTGCGCGAGGAAAGGTCCACGGTCCGTCCGGGAAGTGCAATAAAAGTGTCGGACGGTGTGACGGTCGGACGGTGGAACAGTCGAACAGTCGAACAGTCGAACAGTCGGACGATGGAATAGATGATATGCAGGGTTGTCTCGGCTGTGGGTACCACGGACGGCACTCAACATGAATCCATCCATCTCTACTGTCTGTAAGTACTAGTACGTACTAGTACGTACTAGTAGGTTAGCCGTTGCAGTCCCTGCTGCATCTCGCCGAAAAGCTTGGAAGAGGCAAATCGAGATCTGGACGCGCCAATCGATCTGCAGCAAGAGAAGATGCAAGTAAACGCGAGAGAAAGATGGAGAGAGAGAGCCGCTGGTTCGCACTCGCACGCCACTATTGACTCGCTTGCGGTGTCTTCCCGTGCTTCCCATGCTTCCTCTGCTTCCCATTCCCACCATCCCCGCGCGCATCGTCCCCGTCCCGCCAACGAAAGGGCACGGAAGGATGCCGACGGCGGGCAATAGTATCACCCATCCACGCGCGTTGTCCCCGTGTCGCATAGCTGGCACTGACACGCCGGTATGCAGTGAGGTTAAAGCGCCAGCGCACTGACTAGGAGAAGGACACGCGCTATCGCAATCCAATCATTCTGAATTCCGAATCCCAAATGGAGATAAAAAAAGAACGTCGAGTGGTCTATCAATCGGCCCTAACGAGCTAAGTGAGGCCGGCCGTGTGCCGGGTGCCGGGTGCCGGGTGCCGTGTGGCTGGCGTAGGTATTCCCAAGAAAACAAAAGCAGCTTATTAGTAGTCGTATTTAGTTCACCTTTGGGACTTCAACTTTTGCACCTCGCTAATCTGGATGGAAGAGCGTTTATGGGTATCTTATTTAAGAGGGTCACGTCGGCGGTGCGACGATGCGACGATGCAATCAATATCAGCGCTTCCCCGGCCCGGGATCGACCAATCAACGGCGGCTGGACTGACGTGCAGTGCAACCCTGTGGTCAGCGCAACCTTATCCATCCATCCAACGATCCACGCACGTGTTCACAGTTCCCCCATTCCCCCATCCCCCCCATCTGTTCATTCCTTCATCCGCCATCAATCCCGTGACACCATACCCAAGCACGCCTCTCCCATCATCATCATCATCATCCTCATCCTCCTCCTCATCATCATCCTCATCATCATCCTCCATCCTCCCTCCCTCCCTCCCATCCTACCTGATCACCAGCCAGCCAGCCAGCCAGCCAAATCACGCTTCAACTTCAGCTTCAGCTCTCCCCGTAGCCATCGCACCACACTTTTGACTCCAGACAAAGAAAGACACCGATATAAATAAAATAAAACACCCTATCCCTCCCTCACCTCTTAATTGTCAAAATATCCGCATACCCATCTCTCTCTCCCTCTCTCTCTCTCTCTCTCTCACGCCTACTCTTTCTACCCGAAACCACCTCATTAATCAACACCTAACCCATCCATCCCGGCCTCGGCACCACCGCACCGCACCGCACCGCACCGCACCTCGGCGAAAACCGATCTGGTCTGGTCCTCCCCTCGCCCCATCCCGAAAATCTGGACCATGGTTCGGATTGGTCTGGAACCTACGGTACACCAGTTCCCCGCGGGATCGGGGACCGGACCGGGGACTAGACTGTACACCGTGCAGAGCTTGTTCGACTAGTTGGTCGGGACGAGACAGGACGAGACGGGACAGGACAGATAGTACAGATGGTACAGAGGGTAGTGTCAGCTTTCAGCTCCAAGCCCCGGCGGCACTAACCCGCGAACGCGCGAACGAGCGAACGAGCAATGAGAGCGTCTAGATGAGACGCGGGGGGTTTGGGGGTTTGGGTCTTTGGGGATGAGCGGGAGAGGAGAGGAGGAGAGAGACGAGCTCCGCCTTTCCTAAATCCCATACTGCCCTCCCCCGTCCATTCCTCTCCCCCTCTGCTCGCGCGCGGCAGATGAATCCATCGGTCGATTGGTCAAGTAATCAGCTGATGATGATTGGTAGGTAGGTACGTAGTAAGTTGAAGCGGCCTCACTCCACAGTCTAACTCCACTCCCCTTTCCGTCAGGTATTTTTTTTTTTTTTTTTTTTTTTTCATTCTTCCTTTCTTCCTGTTCCCCCCGCTCGGCTTCATCCATCCATCCATCCATTCCTTCCTTCCTTCGTGCGAAGCATGATACGGAAAGGGTCCGTGACGTGACCAAACAAACAAATAAACAAACAAACCCCCTTCCTCCCTTCCTCCCTTCCTCCCTTCCTCCCTCCTCTCGCTTGATTTTGTTTGATTTGATTTAATCCATTTCAATGTCACGCGCGAGGCTGGCGCCTCGACCAGATACCATGCATGTTGTTGATTCAATGTCAATTCTTCTCGGGGAAGGACTGTAGTCGGTCCGTGCGCCGTGTGCAACAGTCAGGTATTGTGGCCATCGAAACGATCGCCATCATTCGATACGCACTGGGCTTCTGCCTGCAGCGTCCGAGATTCTATCTATCCATCCGCAAGGAGATTGTCAGCAGGGGGGTTCTTTTTTTTTTTTTTTTTTTTTTTTTTTTTTTGTTTGGAGGGAGTCTACATCTGGGGATTCTCGTCGCGGAGAAATCTTCGGCGGGGAGAGAGAGAGAGGTCTTGGTTAGAGGCTTCTTCGTCAGAGGCACTTTCTAAGCAGGTACTCTCGTCCAGAAAGCGCGTCCTAGACTCGTGCCTCGGCTTCGAGGGCGGTGTCG